AAAATCTTATCTTCTCGGCATGCCAGTCATATCAGTTTGTCACACCACAATTTGACCATTCCCAGTTCAGGTGTCAAAGTAAAATGGTAAAACTCAGGACATGTTTAAATTTAAAAAAATCAATTTTAAAATTTTTAATTTTTGATCTTGCACTAGACTGAAATTGCAAATATGAACATTTGTCTACATCTCCATAGAAAATTACAACTATTTAAAGCTGCATACAGAAATCTGACATAATGTAAGTCTGATTAAATATTATGATTAATTTAGTAAGTATAAGTTGTGTACAGCTCTGTGTATTGTTTTTATACTGTATATGCTTAAATACCAAGGATAGACTCTTAGCATTATTATGCTTAAGGCAATCAAAATTGTCAGTGCACTCCATTCTTGTAGAGCACCTCAGTTTAAAGCTACTAGAATGCAATGGGTACAACTGTGGAAGCACAATAACAAAGAATACTCTTAAAGAAGCACAGCATTGATGCTGATCACTAGCTGAAAAGCAAGGTCCCATTCCTTGACCTTCACTGTACACTTGACAAGTTAATCTGTTACTCAGTAAGTCCTATTACCAGATTGCCATGTACAAAAGCCCTTAAGGGTCACCTGTTATTACCAAACTGCTTGAAAGACAAGGCTTTGGAGGGACAACAATAACAAATAGAAAAAAAGGTTAACATAATTAATGTTTGTCTTTCTGTTAAAATTCCACACAAAAACACTAGCGGTATATAATGAACTACAGTATATAAACTGCACAACATGTTTCATGAAATCCAGTGGGATTCTTATTCCAAAATCTTTCTTAAAGCCTTGTATAGGTGAATGTAAATTTTCATTTTGAACGATTCTATTGTAGAAAAGTATGCATTTCATTATCCCATCTTGATTGTTGTTTAGAAAATACAACCTGAAAGGGAAATAGTTCCTGTGCATCTTTGAAAAAAGAAGTACAATAAAATGTAAGAAATTTTAAATGGCAGAAACAGGCAACGTTTTTAATTATAGTGTGATGCAAATTGACTTCTCTGGTTAAATGCAGTGTATCTGTATTCTAAAATACCAATTGGATTTTGAAAAAAATGAATGCACTCACTGAAATTTCAGACTACATTCAGCTTCACTCAATGTAGTCTCATGAGTAACTAAAAAATAGGAAAATAGGAATTAAAAAATGAAGAATTTATTACATTTCTCATATATCATTTAAATATTTTAGTTTTGCAAATTTTAATACATTTTCAGCTAATATTCTAAATAATTAAGATTTCCCAAACACAACAAGTCAACACAAGAGCTGTGAATACCCCAGCAATACACACGACTTTCATGTTCTGCACACTTGAGCCTTCAGAATGACATGTTTCTTTCACATATCATCTTTCAAAGAACTAGTAAACATATGACATTGCTGGTCAGCTGCTAGGTGAATGTCTGCATTTACTGTTTAAGAAATACTTACTTCAAGAATGATGTGTAAATACAGTACACAGGTGTTACAAACTCTGCTTTGCTCTCTAATGACATGTCCAGTGGTACAACTGAGACCACTTCATAATTTTACTCCTAGATTTTATGATATTGCACAACACATAAAAGCCATGCCAATTCTCTGTACCTAACATGTTAGCAAGATGAAACAATCTCAGAGTTTGGCACCTCTGAACCTCACTGTCCAGAGTCCTGAAGATTTCACAGATAAACTAATAAACTAGGTTTCACTTTTCAATATGTTAGAGTGTTATGAAAACCAGAGTTCTCTGCAGCCCTGGAAGACTGGTACTCTGGAGTTGCCCACTCTACAATACATAGAGACATGCATCAGACGTGTTTCAATGCAACGACAGGACATGCATGTGGGGATTTTCTAACTGTACCTAGACTGAATAAAACATACACTTTGATCATATCTAAAATGAACTGTAAGCTGTGTAAAACACTGTATTTTACTCAAATTCTGGATATACAGTAGGTCCGTATGATGCTGCACATAAAAGAAGTTTTCTTTCATCTGCTTTAATGCTGAAACATACTCCTTCATTACAGCAAGCCATCATCTATGTCCATTTACGGCTGATATACTGAGCAGTTTGCAATTGCTCGGTCACTTGTAAAATGTAGTCCAGCTTGGTGTTGCTCCCTGTTTTCGGCTCACTGACATGCACCGCTAGCCCCCACCAACAAACTGAAGAAATTACAAAAGGAAAAATTACCCAAGACCATGTTGACTCACTGGGGCTTCCACCATCTTCAAATGCCTTGAGCTGGTCTCCCGATATCATGATTCCATTGTTTTGTTTTTAATCAAATACCCAATCATAATCCTTCGGAAGCTAATTTTCATATGTATATATATTTGCCTTGGCCACAATTAGACTCCGACTCTTCAGCTGAGGGACTGGTGACTCTATGTACCCCCTTAAAGATGTTTTCTTACTAATTTTACCTAAATGGTTCTTGGAATGGAGTTCCAAGCAGTAACCCGATAGGGACAACAGGCCTGGCTGCTTTCCTCCTGCTGACTCCTCCGGCATCTCAGTGAAGTCACAAGCTTCTGCCCCAAGTGCTCCTGACACATGGCACAGAAAGGGACTGGAACTAGCTCTGTGTCTCCATGATCCCGAGAAAGAAAAGAGCTTGAATGAGATTATGAAATAGAATACAGAAGTAAAATATGTTTCAAACATATGCTGCATTATGAAATGAGGATTCCAGATATCTTACTTAATCTGTCTATCCATTTTTTAACCAATTTATCCAATTTAGGGTCGTGGGGGTGCCAGAGCTAGTTAAGTTAAACTTAAAGGCCTTTAGTCTGCACTTAATTCTGGAGAGGTACTTGTTCTTCCAGTTTCACAGTACTTCACATACACATCTTTCATCTTGCTCATTTTACCTTGAAAGGTTTACTGACAGATACTTTGAATTTGAACATTTGTGTCGGTTTAATACATGTGCAGGGTTACCTTAAGGGCAAGGCCTAAAAGCTAAAAAATGCAAGAGAACAGTTAAAAATTTCAAATACTGCTAATTACATTTAATAGTGTGAAGTGTGGTAAGTCGATGTGTATGAGTTCTCCTGAGTGGAAAAACAACACAGTTCAAATCCACTCTAAACATGTTGCTGAAACCAGGGACAAATTAAGTGAATGTTAGAGTATGGGGATTAGCCAACAAACAGTCCTCAATGCAGAAAATGTTATTCTAAATGTTATTCTCACTTTTTTCCCATGAAGGATCCAAATCTAATGTCATTGGCACTGCTTTGTAAGCAGTAGTTTACTCAGTGCATTTTCAGTCAGGATACACTTAAACTCACCACACTTTAGATGATTAAATGTAATTATCAGTATCATTCAGCACATTTTGCACTAGTAATATCCATCAGAAACCTGCTTTTTCCTGTTAAAGGCTGTGGAAACCCTAAGCATAAGCCACAAGGCAGAACAAAACTCTGGACAGGATGCCTCTCCATTAAAGGAGACAATTTAGACACAGTAGTTCTCCTACCCAGCTTTAATGAAGCAGAGAAAGACAAAGTACACAATTAACATATGATGACCAGAATTTGTAATTGAATTGTTGTGTCGCAGCTTGACGATGATTAGCTTACCTGATCGGCAAAAAAGCTCTGGAGAGGAAAGCACTCTCCTGTCACTCCTCCTCACCAGCAGTCCGTCGTGCGGATCAGTAAAACAAAAACAGGCAGATTACAGAGAAGGAGGCCAATTCCACAGCAAGCACAACAGGAGTAATTTATGATTTGATGTAATTTTAAAACCCCCTCCCTTCTTTGTCATTGGATTTTTCAGTTTGGAGATTTTCAAATGAGACACAAGGTGGGCATCTGGAACTGTGGAGATACACGCAGAAAAGTCCACGCAGTCCACGACAGGGGAGAATTTTACAAGAAACTTGTATGATACTACGGAATGCTAGTTACACTGCAGTATTACATTGGAATGAACTGAAAGGCCATGTATTGAATAGCTCTGCAGTAATGGGAGCTCGGACATATTAAGTCCTCTTCGGTGTCCTTGTGTTGTCTATAACGGTGACTTCCTGAACATTACTGTCCTGATTTAAAAAGAGGATTTTCTTGACTAACTTTTGTTGAGGTTTAAATATATAAAGGATATTTGAATTGCACTTTACTGCACCCTTGTGGTGCTTTTAACCACTGTCCTTGAGTAAATGTGTTTACACATGACAGGTGGATGATTCTGTCATAGGGCTTATTTTTAAGCGTTAGGTATGTGTGGAAGGCTGACAAAGTCAAACATTTCTAATGGGGTAAAAAAAGACCTATGGTATTAACATCAGCTATAGAGTCCATTCTGAAATATGATTTTGCTCTGTCATTATCTTAGCACAGCTGGAAGATCTTACAGAAAAGGCTCCCTGATGCCTAACTTCAAAATAATCTCTGTATGTACCTGCAGCAAACATTATAGTGACAAAATTGAATGTACACGTATTAGGCAGATGCAATCTGTTTAAACCCTGCAGTAATCAAGGCATTGACCATTTATAAGGCTGAGATGTATTTTCAATTTAATGCTTTGTCCCACTGGATGGGGGAAAACAAGCCAAAAATGGAAAAGGGGGGACTTACTATAAAGCAGATAATATAGAAAAGGAACTGTTTTTTGTCTAGTCTTCTCATTTCCCTGTACTGTTTCCTCAGGGAAACTAAAACGCCCCCCTGTGACATACATATGCTATTGCATAGGATCGTTCATTTTTCTGAAATCTGCTGTACACTAAAATGTGGCAGAGTTTAATTCCAGTTAACATTAAATAAAAGTCTAATTTGGTTACAGCAGCAAAGAAAACATAACCAAGTGAACTACATTTTTTTTTAATAGACTACTTTAAAACTCATTAAAATGTTAGCCAAACGGCTATTTTAGTCAGTAAATCCACTGGAAGATTATAGCAAGAAAAAACCTTGATATTTTAAAATAGATTAAAAAAAAGAAAAAAAACAGTCATTAATTATATGATTTAGAAGATTTTTTAATGTTGTTTTCTGGGAGGGAACCTGAAATCTAATAAGTTTGAATAAAAATGGTATTATGTAAGTGACTACCCTCACGAAATTCAGCCTAGATTTACAGAGATAAGTACATTTTATAAAATACAAAAAATAATTTCCACACTTTACAACTGAAATATTTTACAATATACAAATATATCACTTTCCTAACAAATACATCTGACAAAAAAAGGAAAAAGCTGTGACCTTCTAAAAAATATTTGTGCAAAAAAATCTACAGGATACTTATTTGGTTCAACATCCATTCTACGATACAGCAGCAATATTTTACAATACAAATGTATGATATGCCAGGCATAATCAAAAGAATTGCAGGGTCGTTCGTATCATTTACAAACTCATATGAGTGAGTGTGACCTTTATCCCAGTTACACTAGTCCTGTTTCAAGAGGGAACTATCCAGGACTCATGACAGCTGGAGCTGGCAGGGATCAAACTAGCCTACTTCTTTTCCACACAAATGTCCATCCATATTCCAGTATATTACAGGATAAAGGTCTTTTCGCAATGGGCATAAGCTTCTAAAAACACTCGCACAACATCGGTTCTCCAGGTTTCTACTTGTCCAAATCACAGAAACAAGTAGTGAGTATATGAGTATAGTAAAGATCTGCTTTGGATGATGTCCCCTTTATTTCAGTCACTTCATGAGCGCAGCTTTTTATACGTGATGCTTTTTAAGGTCTGCGGGTCAGTTGTGCCTGCAGGCGGGAGAGGCTCAGACATGCTTGCCCGTGAGAAAGAAGAGGGGCTTGTCCTCTTTGGAGTTGGCGGTCTGGAACTCGTCTCTCAGGCGCAGCCTCCACTCCTCCTCGAGCTCCAGCCTGACCACCGTCTGGCGCAGCGAGTTGCGGTCCTGGCAGATCACGCACAGAGCCGCACCTAAACGTGTGTGCGCGAAAGCAGCTGGCGGTCAGGGACGGGCAGAGCAGAGCACTCCACCGAAACCTTTCAAAACCCGCCGATAGAAAAAACAGGCCTCTGCCAGGGTGTAAATCTTTTTATTTTCTACCAATGGTGTTTTCTCAAGCAGACACCTATATCAGTGAGACTTCAAGCCATAGATTTAATAAAGTTAATTTTGTATCTGATTTCAAGTCAGATAAAATATTTAGTTTTTCTTCCATATTAAGAAGTTATTAATTTTCATGTCATTTACAGAAATATTTTTTTATTTACATTCATTTTTTTAAACTATTTTTCTTTTACTTGATTAGCTTGTTTCATGATCATGACATCTCACACACGTCTTGTGACCTGCTGCTGATATTTTAAAGCTTAAGATCTCACCTAAAACACGCATTAAATACTCACCTTTTAAGAAATGGAACTTCTTCAGAAAGCCAGGTGTCACAAAGGAATCACAGACGTACAGGAGCAGGCCACTGAAGAGCAGCCCAGCAGTGCTGATGTTAATGGAGTGAGGCCGAGAGCTTACATAGCACACAGTCACCTGAAAGCACACACAGTTGACAAAGACGTGTTCAGGAAACATATAATGTATCAGGCAATGACACAGAGATACACAGTGCAACCTTGATATAACACTCCTCATTAAACCGTGGTTTAGGATGCGCAGCAGGTATTATCATGTCCGCATATTGTATCATTACGTTGATTTCTCGACACTGTAGAAAATGAAGTAGGTGTTTGTACAAGTTTTTCCTACATGTGGCATCATTTTAAAAGCAGACTTAAAAATTGTTTTAGAGTGGAAATTATCCTTTAGTGTACTTAGCAGAGTTGATACAATGGATTTAAATCTTCCGAATGGTGGCTTTGATGGGTAATCATTGTGACATCTCCAATTAGTAATAGACTGTAAGTACAAAATAAGAATGCGAATCAGTTGAATAACATATAGATTTTTTAATTTAACAGCTTTAACAGCTGTTAACGGCTAGTGTTTTTATTCATTGTGTGCATGTTAAATAAAGAGGGAAATCCCAAAGTTTTGCTTCTAAAGGAGTTGTTCAAATAAAAACAAAGCTTCGAGCTGGATCCACTTCTATTTTTCCGCAGTCATTTTAAAAATGTTTGAATTTGAAAGTTTACCTTCATAAAGCATTTTGAGTTTACAAGTTGCTTTTAGATGTAAAAAGCCACTATGTGGAAAGTGTGATTTTCCTGTAAGTGCACAACAACAATACTGTTTTGTAGATATACAGTATGGTAGGTGAGGTCTATGTTCAGACAGAAAAAGAGGTGTGCGAAATAAATTGGGATAATGGAAGATTAAAGTACCTCTGGGCCCAGGTTGAGGTAGCAGTCCACGGACAGCACAGGGTGACTATAGTTCCTCAGAGACAATGGGAAAAGCCGCTGGCTGGTGTGCTGCAGATACTTCTCCAGCAGCAGCTGCGCAGGTGCCGACAGGAAAGTGTGTTTGCTGTCAGGAGCACAGATGTACTGCGAGGGAGGTACAGTAGACGGCACATCATTCACCTGTAACGAACCACAAACCTGTTTTCAGGGGACAAGAACGTCCACTATTTATTCTGTTCACAATCCCAAGGAAACATCCGTTTTCATGAGGATTTGCCACGTTGAGCACATTTTAACTTGCTTTCAGCTGTCTGCTGTCTGTTTGTTTTAGCAAATGATGAATGTAACATGTGAAGAACAACTCCGAAAAGACTAACATAACTTTGCATAGTTCCTCCCAAAAGTATTCATACCCTTCCATAGACTTAACACTGTTCCTTTAAAGACTAGTCATATCACTTTGAAGTAGAAATTAATATTTGTTATATAAACTACCTACTAAACACATTAAAAAAAGAAAACAAAAATAAATAGGTAACATGAAAGTTAAAAGGTTATGACTGAATAAGTGTTTAAACCATTTGCTCTGGCAAACCTAAAGGTGCAAAAAATCACCTTTAATGAGCCACACAATTGAGTGTCCTCTGTGTGCACTAATAATGGTTCACATGATTTCATAATAAAGACACCTGTAAGGGTCCTACTTTAAATGAGGGAGTTCATTCCAAGCAAAGATTCAATCAGAAAAACCAAAGAGCTTTTTATAAACAACTCAGAGATTAAGTTGTAGAAAACAACAGATTAAGACAAAGACAGGAAAACCTGTCAAGAAAAAAAAAAACACTGAATATTCCTTCGAAAACAGTGAAACCAATCATTGAAAAGTGGAATGTGTATCATACTGCCCAGACACTGCCTAGATCTGGCTGTCCCTGATAAGGGAGGCCAACACTGACTTTGAAAGAGCGAAAGGGTTCTTTAAAAGTAACTGATACCGGAGAAAATGTGCACGAGTCAACAATATACCAGTCACTCCACACAACTAGGACAAAGGACCCATCTCACACCTGCCATGGAGTTTGCAACAAAGCACCTAATAATAATAATTATAATAATAATTGCTTACACTTATATAGCGTTTTTCTGGACACTCAACTCAAAGAGCTTTATACACTGTAGGTAATGAGGACTCCCCTCCACCACCACTAATGTGCAGCATCCACCTGGATGATGCAACGCCAGCCATAGTGCTCCAGAACGCTCACCACACACCAGCTATCAGTTTGGGGAAGACAGTTCATAGATGGGGATTATTAAGAGTCCACGATTGGTAAGTGCCAATGAGAAATTTGGCCAGGACGCTGGGGTTACACCCCTACTCTTTATGAGAAACGCCCTGGGATTTTTAATGACCACAGAGAGTCAGGACCTCGGTTTTACGTCTCATCCGAAGAACTACCTGTTTACAGTATAGCGTCCCCATCACTATACTGGGGCATTAGGACCCACATGGACCGCAGGGTGAGCGCCCCCTGCTGGCCCCACTAACACCTCTTCCAGCAGCAACCTTAGTTTTTCCCAGGAGGTCTCCCATTCAGGTACTGACCAGGCTCACACCTGCTTAGCTTCAGTGAGGTGCCAGTTGTGAGTTGCAGAGTGATATGACTGCTGGTTGCTGGCTACCTAAGTGATACTGCAAACATATGGCAAATGCTTTTGTGATCAGACAAGATAAAGCTCAACATAGTGCATCACTCAGTCAACACCATCATTACTGTCAAGCGAGGTGGTTTCTGCGTGATGTTATAGATTTGCTACTCATCAGCAAGAACTGGAAAGCTTGTCAAGACAGATTGGGAATATAGATGAAGAAAAGCACTTGCAAATCTAAGAGGAAAACCTACTCCAGACTTTAACTGAAAATGAGACAAAAGTTCACCTTTTAGTAGGACAATAACCCAAATCTCAACGCCAAAGCTGCAGTGGAGTGGCTTACTAATAAGAAAGAGAATATTCTTGAGTGGCCCAGTCAAAGTCCTGACATTAATTCCACTTAGAATTTGTGGAAGAACTTGAAAACTGCTTTCCACAAGCAAACCTCATGCAACTTGAAAGAGCTTGAGCAAATCTGTTAAAAAGAATGGGCAAAAATTGCACCAAGCTGGTGTTCAAACTTGGAAGAGACTTACCCAAAAAGACTTGTGCTGTAACTGCTACCAAAGGTGAGTTTACAATTCTGAATTACACAATCAACATATTTCAATATTGTCTCTTTTGTTTTAATTTCTTACAAAAGTACAAAAACTAAATGTCCAAAGTATCTAATCTTTAAATGAATATGAAAAGGATGAGATCTCGGCAAAATCTATAAATCTGGACCACACCACTGTATACACTACAGAGAATCTGTGACTGTAATTCTTATGTCAAAGTAATGTACATATTACAAGACTAAAAATATTGAATTGCTCCTGTCAAGCACCAGCAGAGAAGCCCATTGTGATTTACACCCCTAAATTAAGTAACTGAAACTTAAAATGCTTCTACTTTGATCATTTGTACACCATAAAGTGACATTCAAACAATTGGTTGGTCCCTTTGAATAGCAAATGCATAATTCTTATATAGGTTTTCCTGCATCTAGAATAGTTTTCCCTGGTTTCTAGTGGTACTCTTTTTACAATCTACAATTACCTGACAATCACATGCATAACCGTTATACTGTAAGGTTTTCTTTTGTTTAAATTCAGTGTTCAACTCTTCTCAGGTGCATGGAGGGACAATTTTAAAGAAATGTTTATTCCAAATAAAGCTTCCCTTCTTTAATTATCCTGTTTTTTACAGATGAACACCAACTTTTTTTCAAACCTATCACTCTTTCTAATTGAATCCTAGATACCACAGGTAAGATACTGCATGTAAAATACATGACAAAAATGAAAAGCTGTGCATTGAAAAAAAGCAGTGGTACCAAGGTATCTTGTATCACAATGTTGTTACTAATCTGGAGTTGGGAGATCTCCTGGGAAAACCAGGTATCTGGTGTGAGTGGTGCTGGTGGACCAGTAGCTGGCATGCTTCCCTCTGATATTCTGGATCAGGATATTCAAACCAAGTGGTGGTGTCGCCTTCTAATTCATAAAGTGCTACACAGCTGTAAGCTAGTATCATATATGCTTTCAACCTGATTTTGTAATAGAGGGCTGCAAACTGACTCTCCTTACATGCAATACATTGCAATGTGTAGCTCACTTACCTTGGACTTGATGATGAAAGTGCGATGTCCCCCAATAGCAATTTGCTTCTTCATAACATTGAAATTATTAAACCGGCATATCAGCAGACCAGCATTGTGCACCCGGAGGTTGAAATCTATATCATCGCAGGTAAACCTGAGGAAAGAAATGAGGCACAAGATATTTAATATACGCAAGAGCAAATAAAAAAGATAAAAATTTAACAAAAGAAGCAGGAACTGACAGAGCCGAAGAGGATATGAGACAAGTCTTGTGAACCTATTGTCGGAACATTACAAATATGTTAAATATTATAATAATAAATAATAATAAATTAAATTAGACCTATTTAAAGTCCTTTGTTTACCAATACAATTTTCTGTAAAAGCTGCGGTTAATTTATGAATTGCTTCTGAAATATAAAATTATGTCCAAGCTGCATATCATTTTAAAACAGCCTGAAGACATTCTAGACAACGTTTTTAATGGTCTGCAGTGGTTTGCACGAGAAAAAGAAAACTTCTTTGAATTTGAATTCTTCTTATTTGAAAAAATGTATAGAAATGCTGAAGACACTGGCATGAGAAGAAGAGCACAATTTTTAGTGTCTTGCATATACATTCATAAAGCCATTCATAAAATTCAAAAGTGCGGCGCTGCAGACCGCCTGGTGAACCGCAGAGTTCGCTGCTGCTTTCGAGAAATCGGCTGGATGCGATCCTCGGATCGATGAGGTGCTAACTACCGAGCAGCCCAGCTAGGCCTCATGGCCTGCCCTCGCCGGGAACCTTGGTGGTGGTCTCTCGCTGGGCTTGGCGTGGCTCGGGTCGACACCTCCAGGCCCACCTGTTCTGGTTGTACTGGACGTTCTGGGTGAGGTCAATGTTGAGCAGGACGAAGTCGTGAACGTGGCAGCGGGAGAAGGGCTCCTTGCTCGGAGCGGCGCTGCCTCGGCTCGACCACTTTCGCATCCCGCAGATGCCGTACAGCGTGACACCTGGGGTCCCCTCGATGTGCTGCAAGACGTGTTTCAAAGACACGTTCCTCTCCACGGCTGTGGGCTGGCTGTGGAGAAGAAGACGGGCAGGGAGGTGAGCCTCTGGCCCACAGAGCTGCTACTGCTGAGGCTCAGGTAAGGGACCCTGTGGGTCCCAGAGACAGCCAAAGAGGCCTCACTGAAAAAGCCTGGAAAAACTGCACTTGTGTAAAAATCTCCAGCCTAAAAGAGGCAGAAAAAAAGTTATGACATACAGATAAAGACCTTAAAGGAAGAGGGGATATGTTAACATGGTACCTGATTTACAATTTTGGCCACCATGTTAAATAACAGGTACTGCTGCTCTGGAATCACTCCACAGGAAAGGAACCAGATACATTCTGGGGCTTCAAGGAATGTGCCCCTGCGCTGACAAACTGCAGGAACTGAATCTTTTCAGTTTTGAAAAGAGAAGACCATAAGGGGACCTTAACCAAGTATTCAAAATCCTGAATCACTTTGACAAAGTCAACCCAGCAGACATTTTCTTCAAAGTGAAACATGCTCCAGAGGACACAGGTGGAAACTATATGGAAGTGCACTTAAGTTCTTAACCTTACACATTAAAAACATTCACATTCAAAGGCAATACCTTTACAAATCTATACACTATGTACTCTTCCGCTTTTCATATACAGGTATATATGCCGTTCTGATGTGCTGTCCTGTAATAAAACTTTGATATCACTACAGTAGCAATAGTATTTTCATTTAAAGTCAATTTAAAGTGTGAGTCACTATAGAAATAGTAGGTATTTAGAGAAATGGCCACCCTCCTAGAAACGTCTGGCATATTGACGGTTACAGCCTTAACAAAGTGAAACACCCTGCCAAACACATACAGTACATCTACATTTAAGTGGATTTGGCAATTTTGCATCAATTGCCAAGACAGAACCCAGAAATTAAAAGGCACCAATGCCACAATTTGGACTGTTACAAGAAAAATATCCAAACAAATAACAAAAAAAAACAATGACTAGGCTGACTGGTGCCCACTGAAATATCATTGCTGAGGAACACTCCCATGCTAAAAGAATAAGCATTCTGGAAGTCACGCTGGAAAAGCGGGATAGCACCTCCAAAGAAGGAAAAAAAAGGTCAGTAAAAGAAAAATTAACCTTTTATTGTCTGCGCTAACATCTACAATGTTCCACATGACACAGGAGTCATCAGCTAGGATGATGAAAGGCCAGATATCTTGAGGCCTGATGCCCAGCTCCTCCTGCCTGCTCCGCTCAAGCTCCAAATTGTGGTAGGAAAGCTCTTTGATTAGGAAATGAGCTGCGCCTGCAAAATGATTAGAGCGTTATTCAGTGGTGAGCTAATGGGAATCAAGACAGTTCACAAGTTATAGTACCTACAGTAAGACTAGTATGCTTTAATTACTACAGTGAGGGTGTTTCAATAAGGAAGGTTACAGGGAGCTGGTTTGTTCCATGACAACACCAGCACATCCAGTGTAGTAGAACTGAGTGTCTACTTTTTGGGCCCAAGATGTGACAGCCTGCTGTACATTGAAGTCAACTACTAACTGTCTGCTAGACAGGTGCTTCTTCACAGGGCTGAATAAAAACCTGTGAAGCATGAACATCAGTAGATACCCGCTAGATTAAGAGTGGTTTGCAAATGACATGGTTGGTCTCGGGACACATACCTACACCAGCTCCATTAAATATCGTAGGCAGGACCAGCATGATGTGGTTAGGCCAGTATTTCTTGTACACGGCCATCTCGTATTCCTTAACCACCAGTATGTGCAAGTGGCTGGCGCCATCCATTGCATGGTGCAGGTTGAAAAGACCATGCTCATGCCGACCAGTCGTTGGGGTAAAAATAGGACTCTTGATGCAGTCGGGATTCTAACACATAAAAAAGAAAATGGAAACAAACTTGAAACTGCATTTCTGCAGAAAATTATTTCTCTAGTCCATGGCAAAGTGTGGACATTTGAGAGGAGATGTGAGGCAGAACCCACCCTGTCAGTGGTTAGCGGCAGCCTCATGCTCTCCAGCTGGCCCCCGGGCTGGCTGAAGGTGAAGTGATGTTCTTTAGACTTCGGAATGATGAAGTAAAGCTGAATCTCTTCTCCGAGCATCAAATACGAGAAGGTGAAGGCATGCAGAGTGGACTCGTACAGCTGGAGGAAACGTTGGGGAAAAGAAACATGACATAGGGGAATACACACAAATGTGGTATTTCTTCTAATGTCGAAAGATTCCACAGTGTCATGCAAGACGGACAAAGATCTGGCATGGTGGGTGTAAGTATACTAGTACAAACACTTTAAGAATGGCTATCCAAGTCTTTTACTACTATAACATTTTTATCCTGTTAAGTCTCTATCCTCCGCCCTGTCCAGATTCTCTTCAAAGCTCTCAGCTAGGGTGCAGAATCCAGTGTGAGTTTGTTGCTTTTTACCTTGCAAATGATCGAGTTTACATCAAAGGAACAAGTAAAAGGTTTATTCCATGCTGAAAAGAGAAGAAAAGAAACGCAATGTTTCGGCTTTGGAGCCTTCTTTGGGTTTGACCCACAGCCGAAACATTGTGTTTCCCTTCTTCTCTTTTCAGTATAGAATAAACCTATTACCTGTTCATTTGCAGCCTACACATGCTGACACAGCTACCCACCTGAACTACAGTTTACATCAGAATTGACGTCATTATTTAGTTGTGTGCTTATTTGTGGGACACTTTAAAAAGTAAGGAGCACACTCAGTTTTAATTAATTAAAATGGAGTTGAGTGTGAATACTGCTTTTTTTGCTTATTTTCAATTTTATACCAGAGAAAGTTAACACAGAGTACAACGCAGTCGCAGGTGACACCTCACCTGGTATCGGGGGTTGAAGCCCATGTACTGGTGGCACTGCTCACAGTGGTGGTAGGTGTTATACGCCGCATATTTTGAGAGCTTCATTCTATTTGTGCGGCGACACAAATAGACTTCATCGTGCCTCCTAGAACTTCCTTGAAGACACAAGCATGCAAGGCAAATCAAAAGTGTTCAGGAAGATTTTTTTTCCCTTATTAACTCTGCCAACAAAACACGGTCTGGTCTTAATTACCTTTTTCAGCAAATCATAAATGACTAACCTTCACTGCCAAAAGAGAAGTCTGGAGAATATACAGGGCTGACATCTTCATACTTGGGATCGTGGACTGTGTAGTCAAAAGGCATTGCTCTGATGATGTCAATGTTAGGCCTTGCTGCTCCAGGCTGGTGGTACTGAACAGATTCCTCCTTTACACCTGAAATAAATACATTGGTTTCTACACTACAACAAGGACACTGCCAAACTGTTTGGCCAAGCAACATACCTATACAACAGATGATAACATTTAATAACAGAAAATTGTACTTTACCACTCATATTCAACATTTACATCACACACATGTTTGAGCATGACAGCTGAAATTTGTGAGAAATAAAATTTCTTTTAGTGTCATTATCAGTAGTATAAGTAGCTGTTGCTAGACCTTTTTTTCTGACCACAGAGTTCATGACACTTTGGTTTTGATTCTGAATAGTGATCCATGTCTCTCGCCTTTCACTTTTATTGATTTAATGACTAATTAAATGAAAAACCATGTACAGTTTAACCTCAAACGAGTGTAACCCTACTTCCTTTTTCAACCTGAGACCAAAGCTTCAACCTGAGTAACAATTCTGAACCTCCAATACAGTCGAGGGTGACCTGGACCCAGGATCACACTCGTATTTGTTTGCCTTTTTGACTCATGTTGGACTAGTGTGAAAAATGCTTTGGAATGTTCTGTTAAACTGATACAAATTTAAAACGATTTATTAAAGGAATTTTCAGCCCCTCAAATACAGTGTCATCAATTTATTTATATTCAACTGGATCAACTGATGAATCTAATCTAGAAAGATGAACGGTTTGTTCAAGATATAACTGAATATAAACAGTAATCCATCATTATATGACTTTAATTTGTGCCTCAGGAACTGCTTGAGGTAAAAACTCATAGAAAGGAAATTCAATTCTCATTATACTCCATATTATCATCCCTTACCGGTTCCAAAAATGTTCCCTAAAACACCCAAACTTTACCTTAATACAAAACAGAACAATATGTACGTATAAAAACAATAACATTTTTGGTTAATTATATAAGTAACATGCTTAAATTCATTAGCTGATGCATACACAACAGGTAGGAAAACAATGACACCCCTGCTCATTTACATTATAGCAGTTACACTGTTACATCTCTTAACAAATAAACATTAGATACTATATGTTACCACAGTATATGCACTTAAGAGACACAAGCATTTATTATACAAAAGTTAAAAAAGTATAAGTAAATTATTCATCTGATGAGTCTGGGTAATGCCCAGCTCAGAGGAATGAAAATCTGCTTGTTAAATGACAAAACAGGCAGGATTTACTACATCTCATGTAGTATACCGTAAATGAAAACTGGTTGCTTGTATAGCGAGGTAAAGCAAAGTGTAACAGCATTTATGGTTTATACAATACATAAGTGTACTGCATTTCTCCTTGCAATTCACTTATTTACAGAGAAATGCATTCATACATTTTAAGTATAGTTTGTTAATTTTTGTCTTTCAGTGTTTCTTTTGTCTAATTCTACTATATTTAATTTCAAGCAATGATTTACATAAAAATTTAGTTATTAGCTGTTTTGAGTTCTAAGCAGTAAAATATATTCTATTTTTTCTACATGGAATAAAAGAGATTCAATGAACCAATTACTCACTTGTGTTAATATCCTCTTCATCATAGATATCAACCTCCATTAGCCGAATCAGCATCCGGGATAAGATACTTAAGAACTGCAGATAAGCTCCCGTTTTCCCTACCTGAAAAACAGGTGGAAATGCAGATATCTTTGAATGTCAAAATGCCAGATTTAGTCATTTTGATCAGTGGACTTACTTACCATAAGGATCTGCACATCTTTAGTTTTTATGGCTGTCTTTAGACAATGTCTGACATTCATGCTAATCTTGATTAATCAAAATAATACCTAATTGGGCGTTTACATGAGATGTTGTTTTGCTTGAATATAAGGTGATCAAGAACGTGTCTAGAATCTGGACTCTTGGTTTTGATGCTCTTGGAAATACATCGCCATGTAAAATCTGCAGCTCTCTCAAGAGCAATGTAACCCTTATTGAACTCCAGTAAGTTGTTCAAGTAGTAAAAAAGCCATTGCATACCTGTTACCAAATTTTGTGGGCCACTGACTGAAAGCAGCACGATTTCAAGATTTATTTTTTATTCCCTTTTTTGTAAACATCTAGATATGAATTGGGATTAAAAGCAAAATTTAACACCCTTTGCTCGATTTGTGTATGTTTCTAAGCAAACCTGCCAATTGGCCTAGAACAGGGATGGGAATTCCAGGCTGTTGAGGGCTCTTTAAACCACAAGCGCCAGATTTATAATATAAACCAGCCCTCCAGGACCAGGATTGCCTTTCCTGGGTTAGAAAGCCTGCAAGAACTACAGCTAACCTTACCATTCCTAGTCCTCATAACACCAGTATCTTTCAGCCTTTGTTCTCTGTTGCTCGCTGCTCTCAATGACTCCGTTAATCACTTGCTGATAAGATCTGTGATCATATGAGTAATGGATGCTGATTTCCGTATGACAACCATTAGTGGAATTGGGATAATAAGCAATCAAAGTGTTTAGAAACCAGGAAATACAGAACTTTTCAGTTTATGAAACTTTCACTTTATTGTAGCAGAAACACTGCTGTTTCAACACATAAATCAAGCACTGGTTTAGATTTAAAAGGCTTACTTTAAACATTATCCTGATAAAACATGGTGAAGTGCAGTTTTTGAAAAGGGTTTAATGAATGAGCTACCTGTGGTGGCCCACTGAGTAGGAGTCTTCTAGGATGGAAGTTGTCTATTCTGCCCTCTGCTCTGTTGTTGCTGTCCATGTGGTTCGGCCTGGGGACAGTCCACTGGCGGTAATACAGAGACTGCTCAGTACAGGTCATCATCTTGCTGAGCAGGGGGCGGAACGAGCTGGCCCAGTTCACCGAGTGGTGGGGGAGGAAGGAGGTTGACTTGGGCAGACCGCTGCCGTCGACGGCGAGGACGATGTCGTACACAGCTTTCGGCAGGAGCACAATAGGTGGCTGGTTTAAGCTCTTGGCCCAGGAGCACCTCTGGACAGGGTGGGAAACTGCAGAATTCTGAGCCGAAGAAGAACCTGAGGAAGTAGACTTCGACTGTCGCCTCTGGCCTTCGAGCACGTCACAGGATGGGCTGGTTTCGTCGCATGGCTCTCTGGTCGCTCTCTCCAGGCTGAGCTTCTGTGTGTCCATGTCCCTGACTCTGCTATCAGGGTTAGAGGCCTCTGCAGGATGAGGATTTGTCCCAAGTTTTTCTGTGGGAGGCTCACTGCTCACTGCTAAATATGAAAAGTTAAGACAAGTGTTTTTGATAACTTTAAATTGCCCTCGTTGACAATTTAGACCAATGTTTAAAATTAAAGTGTGCAACTAGCCATGGTATGGTATTTATTAATATTTAATGGTTCAAATCCAGTTCTCCCTATGGAAAAATACCCACAGCCAATGGGTCTACCTGTTCTATCATAGGGACTTCACAGGAAAGTCTATACTAATGATCACTAATGAACAATTTTCATGTGTTGCCTGTTGGAAATGATGCTTGCTGCTTATTAAACTGTAAAATGACCACCGGGATGTATTTTGTAACAGACACTAGTTTCAGTTTCCATTCTAAAATGCCTTTACTTCTTCCTTACTTTAAGGATCTGAATATTTTTCATTCCTTCAGTAAATATTTACTTTTGATCACTATTTTTTGTGATACTTTGCTGTAAACATATCGTATATTTATCTCAGCTGTCCTGTGCATTAAGGAATTAAAACAGTTTAGTGGAGTGGAGGGGATTATTTTCATTCTACATTACCTTATATTTGTGTTTCAAGAACATGATGAGATATAGGAAAGAAGGCTCTGTTACTTGCTATAAAATTGCTATACAATTCAAGGCTATTTTGTGGTTCTAGATTTGTAACAGTTACTGTATGTTTGAATAATATTGCAAGGTTGTGCTAGTTTATACACTTATCCTTTCCCAATATCGACTGCAGTGTTCAAATATCTGTGCACAAATTACTTCACTATATCTGGTTATTTTTCCAGCTAAGAATGGTTCAAAACTGTCTAATGATCACAGTTACTTACATTTGCAAACCATGGGATTTGCAACAAACCACTGCAAATGGAAGATTTCTAATTAACTGCAAAAAAAACAGATTTTGTTTGCACACCGCAGACAAGCTGGGGAACAGCTAGTAGAGTACTTTCTTGAGCATCTTTACTAGCTGCAGATTGAACCAGTTCTAGTTACAATGAACTTTAGAACTGTGGATCAGGACAGAGTTTGAAGACATACTGTCTCCTGTTCGTTTCAAACATGGCTGGCACTGACACACCTAGGCACTACATTTCCAAATATCAATGTGAAAAACCTATTTCTCCATCAACTAATGAACCTATAAATAGCAATACATGCAAAGCAATAGATGGTTTGAATCAATAAGTACCAAAAGGGGAATTTTGACCATACTAATAATCACTGAAATTAATCAGAAACAAGAAACACACAAAATGTGGCTTATATCCCTAATAATCATATACAGAACTTAAAAGTACACTTCACATGCAAATATGATGACTAGTGTGAAGAATCTGGCTTAATCAGCTATAAAACCATCCCTGTCTGCAGGCTGAGCTCAAAACCACATTTACATTAAAATGTTGAAAAGAGGGTAGAAAAACTCCCGCTACTCGTGACACCATTCAGTCCACTGCTAGGCAGCAGAAATGCAATCCAAACGAAAGCACTGCAAGGACAAGCTTGTGGTTGCCCCAGCTGTACATCTTGATTAAATCCATGGTGCTGCATTTATTATCCGCTACAGTTGAAGTCACTTACAGGTGCATCACTGGATTTGCAAACTGTCCCTGGAATATTGGGTTAAGCAAAATATCCCATTTAGAGTGTTTGACAGAGATAGGAGTTTATCTGCAGCCAGTCCAAGCGACCATGTAAGCTGACTACAAACACTGTTGTTCCAAAACAAAGCTGGTTTCTTAATTTTTACAGAATCGTCATCATCATCATCACCTCTGCTATTCATTTTGTAAAACATTGGTTTATATAATTGCCATTTTTGCGTGAAACATTAACTTCGAGGTGATTTTCAATGCACTGGGAAGTATGCTATCGATAATTAATGCAGAGAATTCCCACAGTAAACAGTACAATATATTATAAAGTTCAGGTGGGTAGCTGTGTCAGCATGCATAGGCTGCAAAGCAACAAGTAATAGGTTTATTCCATGCTGAAAAGAGAAGAAAGAAAACACAACATTTCGGCCGTGGAGCCTTCTTCAGGTGTGAGGTGCTTCTTCAGGTGCTCATACCTGAAGAAGGCTCCATGGCCGAAATGTTGTGTTTTCTTTCTTCTCTTTTCAGCATGGAATAAACCTATTACTTGTTCCTTTGCAATATATTATAAAAATGTACGTTCCCACCAATGTAGGTTTTAAAATTTGTTTTTAGAATTAGAAACGTGGTTGGTTGTTCGTCTTTACTGTCATAAGAAAGGTTGTAAACAAGAGGAGGCCATTCAGCCCCTGAACCTCTTCTACAGGAAACGGGAGGTTGAAGAGCAATGTCATAGATGATGAAAGCAAATGAAATGAAGTATCTGTATTCACAATAAACCACTTTGCCTACAAATTATATTGTGCTAAAGAAAAAAACAGGCAGAGTTAAAGTAGAGAAATACTGTAATTGGATCTTAATTCCCTGTTACCGTATGAATGGCCGGACAGCCTTCACCATACTTAAGATAACAATTGTAACTAGATAATCAATTTATATTAAAATGACTCAGAAATGCAGAGAGGTACATCCTTAAATATGGTAATATTACAAGACAACTGCACAGAAAACACTGCTTTAGATCAAAATGATCAGGTCATTAGTTATCTGAAATGGATTTACCATTAACCTTGGTATTCCAAATGTCAGCATATTTCAGAGTTTAATAGTTCCTGCAGAATCAGCTGCTTAGGAAAAATGATTGCAATAATAATTACAGCCATTTATGTAGTGCTTTCCATCTCAAAGGTGGGCACTGAAATACAGTTTCCACCTGGGTGATGCGTGGCTGCCATTATACACATGAAGCTCCGCTACGCAGCAGGTCAGGGGGCAAAGGGAGAAATAGTATCATCAGTTGAAATGAAGGGGAATATTAGGGAGGCCAGATTGGGATTTAGCCAGGAAACTGGGCCTAAAACCTCTGGTCTTTTGATAATCTTTAATGACTTTAAACAGTCTTAATCCCATTTTAACATCTCATTTTTTAACAACTGGATCACCTCGACTTTTTAGCAAAAGCGTACCAGAAATGACACTTTGGTCTGACAGCAGCATACTTCACCAGTTTGTTTCTTGCAGTGTCTGGATGGTACAATGTACCTTCCGTTTCTTGATGACTGAGTAGATTGTGCTCACGAGGATATTCACAGACGCCTGTAGTTTTTGTACCCTACTCCTAATTTGTGCTTTTCAATGACTTTATCCCCTGACTTGCTTTGAAAACTCCATAGTCTTTATGGTTGAGTTTATGCTCGAAATTCACTGACGAAGGAAGCTCACAGATGCAGGTGTTTTTATTCTGAAATCATCAGATGAATCAAATCATCTCTATGAATTGTGTGACTCGTTAAGGTAATTTTATGCACACAAACTATGCCAATTGAAAGGGCTTGAATACTGATGCAATCATGGCCTTTCCCTTTATTCCAGATTATCTGTTTACTTCTTTCTTTTTGTTTTTTGCTTTGAATTTGTTGAATAGCCCATGTATTTTACAAATATTAATATGCTACTTACATTTTAAAAAGTTTTATTATTGAATGCTGTGAGGCAAAAACTGTGCAAGGGTCCAAATGCCAAGTGCGGGTTTCTTAATTAAGGCAGATGGGAACCTTAAAGGCGGTTAAACTAACATGTGTAAACAAAAAGCCGTAGTCATGCTTCTGGCGTAGGGTTCCCTTAATATATCTGAAATCTTTTTACTCCCTCTAGTAAAGAGACTACATCTTACTTGAAGATTTTGAAGACACAGATGAGGCAGCAGAATCATGGGAGAAAGACCTCTGTCTCTTTACAGGACTTCTTTTTATAGAGCTGAGAGCTGTTTTAAAATATACAAATACAACAGAAAAGAGCATCTGAGTTCTTTCATGTTCAAATTGTTGCAGACATACAGAGAAAAAAATTATGTTGTTCAGCTGAGCTCTATACAGTATATCTATCTCCTTGTCATGGAAACTAGTGACACCATGATTAGCTGAAGGAAGGGTCAATACCAGTACAGGCATTACGGATACGTGATCACATCTGAGGCGACACCCGTCATGTTAACAACTGTAATATTGAAATGTGGGATCACTGTGAGACAACATCCTGTGAAAGCAGATAGTTATACGGTGACAAATGTGGCAAAACAATGGAAAAATCATGAATTTTGGTACAATGCATAACCTGAGGGGCAACAGAATTTTGTCCTTCAATAGTGTAGATCACTTGAATGTTGCAGGGTACACAGATGGGTATGCGACTCGATTTATCTGAATAAAAATGTCTCTCCATTCATTCTGTGATGATGAACACTTTTACATTGCGTCCTAGAGATATTAAACTTCAATTATCTATTGTAGCTTTGTTATTAGGTAACATTTTCTAGTTAGATGGAAGATGGTATGCTGTGCTCCTAATTTCTCTTTAAATCCTCTTTCGTTGTATTGTTTAATTGATGTCTTGCATAGTGGTGCAGTGGTCGACGTTGCTGCGTTGCAACACTGGGGCCCTGGCTACAATTCCAGACCTGGGGTGCTGTCTGCATGGAGTTTGTATGTTCTCCCCATATTCGCGTGGGTTTCCTCTGGGTGCTCTGGTTTCCTCCCACAGTCCAAACACATAGTGGTAGGTTAACTGGCTTCAGAGAAAATTTGCCCTGGTGTGAGTGTGTGTCTGTCTGTGTGTGTGCCCTGCGATTGACTGGCATTCTGTCCAGGCTGTACCCCACCTTGCACCTGTTGCGTGCCAGGATAGGCTCTGGCTCCCTCGTGACCCTAAATTGGATGAAGCAGTTAGAAAATGGATGCGTGTGCTGGGGGTTACAGACCAAAATCTGGGCGTGTTAATCATTAGGTTACCCATGAGCACCAGAAAGTGTTCCTATTGAGTTATAATTCCAGGGAGACAATAAGATAAAACGGACTCCTATACATGATTAAGTGGTTACCAATACATAATACTGTATATACCATGGAGACAAACAATGGAGTATTGAAGAGTAAATATCAAAGAGTAATTTTCACAATGAAAATGTAAGAATTTCCTGAATAAATGAAAACATCTCTGCTTGTTTTTGTATCATGAGAATTTTTCCATTTTCAAACACTGTACAGTAGTTAGCATGGTAGAATGGCCTCTGCAAGTGAGTGCGGTACATCTAATGATGAAAAATATTGCCTGGTTGTGCTCACCATCACCATCACCAACCAGCTCCTCATCCTCATTGTCAGTGCCACTTAGCTTCTCGGGGTCACTGTCTGAGAGGTCACTCACAGCGGCCTTATCTCTCAGCTGGTCGGACTTTACCAGATACGCGGCCAGTCCCAACTCCTGCTCGAGAGCTGTCCTCATTAAGTAGGTGGAGTTTATCAAGCGAAGATCACAGTATTTCAGAGACCTGGGGAGGAGGATTTTATTTTAAAACCACGCCCTTACACAGACAAGGATACAGGCTCCTCATATGTCTTTTGACACTCTACAGAGCAAGAGCCTCTGAAAGTGGAATATCAAATGAAAGAGTGCACCAAGTATAAAAAAATACCAGTTTTTGAAAGGAAAATAGTCTGTCTGTCTAGTAGTGAACTTGTGTAAACAGGGCAAGAGAGCTACCAGGTAACATTTACTGGGCTGGGTCATCTCTGTTTATAGTTCCCATACTTTTTTATGGTATTGGCAATGACTCAGGTTTATTCCTACCATCCTGGTAGAAGCTTTTTGCTGCTGTATAAACCACAATCTCACCACCTATTGGGCACAAAAATAGCTCATGAATTTTCATCTTCAAAGATCATCTTTCAGGGGATCCAAAAAGATGAAGATTAGATTGGGCAAGATCCAGTCTGTCATGCTTTGGCGAGCAATCTTTTCACAATGTTGACAGTGGCTCAACTGCTTTGTTGTGACAAAGCAAGTGACAGCCACTGCTTTGGCTTATAATGGGACACTTTATGTCAGTTTTCTATACTTTGTTGTTCAAATAACCGTTTTTAACTGGTATTTTAGCATGTCACAGTATGTCGTAGTCACGACTATAACTCCAGTCTACATGAAGTAGACAAGAGCTAAGAAAGATAATAATTTCCTTAGCAGAGGATGGTAAGGAAACCCCCAGAAAGCCTAGACAATGCTGCTTTTCACTGGTGCACAGAAAATTGTTATAGTATTGTGAGTGTATGATGAGTGAATGAGAGGCAAGTTCTGTCATGGTGTCATGACATTTACAATTAATTAATGTTTCCTTCCTTCCTACAATGTTAATGTTTCCTTCAACATTTTTAAACGTCTGGTGACTCACACATACTGTATTAAAGAGCGTTCTTTTACAAACCTGGGAAGCGACTCTCCCTGTGGGTCCATCCCTGTTAAGATTAATATACAAGGCAAGGCTTCCAACTCCAGATAGGTTCGAGGGACCCAGTCTGCATCTTGGATTTTTAACCATATCTGGTTGTACAGAAAGAGGACAGATGAACACAGACGTTTAATTTAGGTATGAAATAAATTCCTCTAGTAGCTCATGAATATGATTGTTTCTTCTTTGGTGTCACTTGTATTCACAGTCTTATTCAGTAGCTACAAGCACCACATTTAAGATGGCTGGCCAACTTTTGTTTTAACTAGTAATTATATAAGAAAAAGGAAACAAAAAGGCAACTGTGAGGGAAAGGGAGTTTCATTTACCTTCAGCTGATCCACAAAGTGCTTTCCTACAGAGAGGGGAGAGCTGGGATTTCCCAGGATGACTTCAAACAGATGCTGTAACCCAAGCCGTTCTCTGACTTGACAAAGGCGCTCGTAGGCCACTCTCGCCAGAGGGAGAGATGGGATTCTGAGCAGCACCATGTGACCGTGGCGGCTGGGGCACTTCTGCGGCGAGTTCACGAGGTTCTGGACAATCTCCAGGGTCTCCACCGATGTGTACTTCTTCAGGTGCAAACTGCCGGACACTGCCATCATGGCCACAGCATAATGTTGCATTAGGACATATGTTCTTATAATAGCACTGTGGATCTTGGGAAACCTGAAGCCAATTGAAATTAAAATCAATGTGAGAAATACTGAGAGTTACATACCAAATACTGAAACAATTCAGCCAAGCAAATAAAAATGTGTTTTTTTGTGAGGCTTTGAATCTGCACATTATATTTACAATGAGTTACAACAATGAATGTGAAATGTTTTTTAATTTACAGGATAATAAAAATAATTCTTCCTCACATTGCAATTCTGCATAGTAGGTCTCTTGTTTAATGTTAAATTCTAATATACCTTTTTTAAAATTTGCTTTTACCTAGTCATATACTAAAATGTCTTTCCCTGCATCAACTGATTCAGGATTAATTTTCAGAGAAATGTAGTGAATCATTATGTTACTTCTGTTAACTAGTTTAATTGATTTTCAAAGGTACCTTTCCCCCAAGCCCATCACCATTGCCTCAAAGGAGTTGTCATATCTCATTAGAGGTAGGCTGCTTCCAGAGCGGCTGGAATCGATGAACTCGGAAAGACCAAAGTATTTTGTATTTTCGTGATACAAATCAACATCCTGTCAGGAATCAGAAAACCACATAGTTCAGATCCTCAGAGAATACCAATCTTCCCTCATGGCTGCTTACAGTGGCATGATTACTCTATAATCATGAGAACAGAGAGTTCTGTAATGTGCCTTCAGAATGCTGTGTATCAAAAGGTGCCATATAAGAATAAAATTCACTTATTCAATTCATAAATCAACTGGAGGTTTTCATTTCATTGTGCTTTTAGAGACTGGAACATGGGAATACTACAGTGTGTCACAGTAAGCATCCGTGAGCCACATTTATATTAGGATACTCATCAGCTGTCACAGGGCTTACTTATTCTCGCTTAAATCTTTCTTACACAGAAGAGTTACTAATTCCACTGAAGAGGTTACACCAGACAACACTTAAGAGTTTTAGCTTTTAAGTGTCTCATTCTTCCCTTGACTGGGCTCTTTATTTGATGGCTTACATTGCTGTAGGCTGAAGGCCAGTGAATCTCATTGTAGGGGCTGACCCGTGTGTACTGAGTCTGGAGAGCGAAGGGAAAGGAGGTGACATGAAGAGTCAAGATGTTGGGGGCTTCCCTAATTTCTCTGCAGTTCAGGAGGCCGTCCACCAGGCCCGTGCACAAGTCACCTGGAGTGAAAGGACCACTGTATGTGACATAAAGACATGACAGCACAGATTAGCACATTCAAACCTCATGTGCAAACACCACAAAAAGTGACAAAAGAAGGCGAGTGCCAAATTGTGAGGAGTACTGGGTTTTTGTCATGAAATAGTCTTCTGGGGCCCCCGAGTGGTTCAACCATTAAAGCAGCCATCGTGCTTGTAATGTAGCTTGGCACAAGTCTACGCTGTGTTCTTAACCCAACCTGACCTGAATTTCTCATATGGAAACCCACAGCTGGGAGGTGGCTGGCAGCTGAGTTGGCTTGAACTGGCCAGGGTATCCTTGTGTTGCTACATTATGGCAACCTCAGTGTCTTGCTGTACAATGGCAAGCTTACAGGAATGTCAAGGAGGGTGCTATCAAGCCATACAGACTCTACTGTACTGTAGACTTTACAGGATCTGCAGCACGAGAAATGATGGCTCACTCTGAGAATGACTTCTGACAAAAACACAATTCTCATCACCACTGAGCTAGTTCCAGGACTGTGGTAGTAAGGAATAAGAAAAGAAATGCAAAATTAAAAATCCTCTTGTATTTTAAAAATAATATTTTTCAAAGCAAATGAAATAAAAGCAGTGGCTGCTGATTTGAATAGATCAAGTTCAACTTTAGATCACCTGTGACAAGTCAAAGCACTTTTATTTTTGAATCGTAGGACTGTGGTTAAAACTATACTTTTTTTTAATGTATATATGGCAAGGCAAAGCTGGACACTTCATGCAAAAAACAAAATCAGACTCCTTCACGTGAGACCAGATTAGAAAACATACCTGCTTAGGTCCCAGTGGGCGTGGTCATGCACCAGAATGAACAATGTGTATGGGTTCATCTTGGATTTCTGAATGAAAGCATTGATTTTGCCCTGGGCATCCAAGTCCAGTTTCACCACATACTGCTCTGCTCCCTTCTTTGATGTGCGGTCCTTTTCCAGGCCCAGCTCCAACAAAATCCCTGCAATGCCAGTACAGTTTGTATCTCTACTTAGCAAACCAAACAGTACCTGAATGGTTCCATATTTTCCATGTTTACTTCTTGTCATGTGATTTTTATGTCTAATTCTGTTTCCCAGTTAAAAGCATTGAGAAGTGTTGAGCTGCTGTAGAGTGAGAGCTACAAAAGAACAAGTAGAGCACAATTCCATGCTGAAGTTTGAAAACAAAGATGAAAAAGCAGTTACAATATGTTTTTCAGCTTAGTCTTCAGTGTGGACTTAAACTCTACTTGTTTCTTCAGTCTGAAACGATGCAAACTGCTTTAAAATGAAAACCATGCAGCTACTGAGTGTTTTAGCTCAACGGTTTGTCAAGCACACTTAACTGCTGCTACTGATCTCCCATTTCAGAGCACAAAACTTGCATTTCATTCCTGCAGTCCTGACAATATTATTTTCAATGAAATGGAAATGTATGTAATGTATAATAACAACATGACATATACAGTGATATACAGTGAAAAGCTAGGTATTGGCACAGTGAAATGAAATTTGTCATTTTTGCAGTGTACTAATGCCATTTGTATTTTAGATAAATATTAGGCAAAGCTACAGAATGTCAGCCTTTGTTTATAGGTATTATTTTGTATTCAAGTTTAGCCATGTTAGAGCAATGTAATTTGTTGCGTTCAATCCCTCCATTTAAGATTTAAATATTGGAACAAATGGCTGACAGGTGTTTCTAATTGCTCAGTTGTTGCATGCTATGAAAATATAAGATATAAGATATAAGAGCTGCGAACGTACAGACTTGTTTCAGCTTGTGAAGTTTACTCTAAGTTTACTTTTTGGGTCTGCCTCTTGAGTTAGAGGGCATATCCCAAGAAAATGACTAGAGTTTTATTTATGATAGAAAACAGAGCAACTGCTGAAGGACTAAACAATTAGTCAAGACCAGGCCATCCAAAGAAGACAACAGCAGTTCATGACAGGAAAATCATTAGAGCTGTGGAGAAAAACCCTGAAATAATAATAAAAGAGACTTTTAACTCTTTTATAATTATCAGTTTAATCTTGAATTAGAAGCGGCTTCGAAATCCACATCTGCTCCAGATGTGGATTGACAACAGCAAGCAAAATTCCAGTAGGAGTAGCATCTCTTCAAAGTCTCTTCAAAAGTTTTCTTCAAGTCTTTGCTTCAAAGTATTACAACAAAAAGCAAAAATGAATTAGACTGGAAATGTAATGGAGCCGAAAAGGCAACTAGTTCAGGCAAAGCAATGAGTTTAAACGTTTAAATTGGAGCTTCAGTCTCAATTTCTCAGACTGGTTATTACATTTTGGTAACAAAATAAATTCATTGACGAAAACTACGATGTGAAACAGCCCTTCCTGCTCACTAGTCACTGTAAGGACTAATGTAATGAGAAGTATGAATGAATAAGTACACGTTGTACATACATTTTACCATAGAAATGTTAACAAATAAGTTGTATTTGTAAGCAAAACTGTCTGTAAGTCCACTCCAGAGCAATATTTCTATTCTGAGCCTGCTTGTTTACAATGTAATAGTCTTTTCACGTCACCAGACGATTGGTTGCCTTGTTCTGAATCACAGAACATGGTGCTGCACATACCTGGAAATTCATTCTATTTTGTCCTGTAAATTGTTGGTTTTACAAGTTACTATGTACATTTTACTTTCACTGTGGTTTGAAATGCAGCCATCAGTGCTGATTCTTTCTAACCCAGAAATATAAAAATAACATTGCAGTTCCCTTTTAAGGAAGAGAATGTTCACCTGAGCTCCAAAGATGCAGCACGATCTGTTGGAAAGTCACTTCTGAAGGTGGGACGAAGATTAGAAACTCCACTTTCTCAAAGGAGCCGAGATCCAAGTTCTGAGTGCTTGAGTCCGCTATGGCGCAGACATGTGAAAGCAGTTTCCGAGCTACAGCCAACTGGATTGGGCGAATCTCATGCCACTCAACTTTGAACTCTACAAAAGAAAAGACTTTTTAGCATACAGTACATGTCATATTTTAATACAGGCGTTTTTTATGAAAAAAAAGCAACTTGTTGGACATTACAGAGGGAAAAAGAATACCCTTTGCCAGAAAATGTTAAAACGTTAAGGTAAAACCGAATAGTCAAGAGAAATTCTGCTAAAGGTGAAGAAAGAATCAGTAAGGCTTTGGTTGTAAAGGAAACAAACTGTGGAGTGTGGTTTAAAGCAGAATGACTAGGATAACATTTGGACTGTCTTTGCAAAGTCTAACACTGGAAGGTAAAAAACTTCTTTAGTCTGTATTAGAAACAGTTATTGGGGAACATACAGGCATTAATAGGCCAGAAAGGTACTGACAAGCACAATCCAATATAAGGATAAAGAAATTAACTAGAAGAAGCAGAAATTAAGAGGAAGAGCAGTTAACACTGAAAACAGGGGGTATTTCTTAGCACATAGTGTAACTGTGCGTATTTGTAAAACTATGTATATATTAGCCATATGCATTAGATGAAAAGAAACTAGAAAAAATAATTATGAAAAATTAAGGCTGATTTTTTCAAATGTAAGCATCAGAGCTTCATTTAGCCTAGCAATGCTAAGAATTTCTAATTTATAATAGCAAGTAAAAATTTTTTTGTAAGGTACTTCAGTACATTCCATCTGGAATAAAAGATATTGCGGGACTAGAAATGTAATTACAATACTCTTGGCATGATTTCAAATCTTCCAGTATGGGATATACATGTATACATGTGTACACATACCATAAAGCATTACAAAGTAATTTTACCGCCTTACCTGAACAAATGGCTTTGTTTAAGGATCCAGTATTACTTGATACATACATGTGGTCACTTTTCTCAAAACTGATTTTCTCTTGTAAAGTATCCACATCTCCCTCTGGCAAATTAAATGGAAAAAAAAATATTTGAAATGCATTATGAATACAACCTGGATAAAAAACTTATAAATCATACCCTATTGAGATCAACAGAGATATCAGTCTGCTTCCTTAATACTAAGACCTGCAGCTTTTTGAATAAAATGTTGCAGATTCAAAAGAAGGAAAAGAAAATCTGTCATTTAACTTTATCTTTTTTAAATTTAGTATTTGTAGTACATGAACAGTAAAGTTCTATTTAAAAAAAAAAATATTCTATGCAGTGTATTAATATTGTGCATTTTTCCTTTATAGAACTGTGATTTCATACCTGGACAAAGGGTGCTGAAGAACGTCCTTAGAACTCCATCCTTTCCTGCAGCCAACTCGTAGCTGATCTCCTTGAGAAACTCAGTTGGTGTAAACATGCTTTCTGCCAGGGCACGAGCCTGGTATTTTCCTGAAAAAATCACTCATTGTATTTTTCATTTTCAATTTTCTAAGTGTGGGTTACTCGTGATCAGTTCCATATTGGCCAGCCTCAATAAAGACTGACTTGACTGCCCTCGAGGAAGTGATCTCAGTCATCCTCTGAGTGATGTGATGATATGAGTGATACTACTTTAATAGGCTAATTTTATAATGCAGCATTATAAACTCTTTAAACCAGCAGTTTCTGATTAATAGTAAAACCTTTCTTCAGTATTTACTACATTATCTATATTATTCAGTTTTTTCTGTGTATACCCCTACAATACTGTGTGTTCCATAACCATGAACATTGTCTTCTTCAATAATATGCATCCACAATGAAGAGTGGATTTGTGCAGCTTGGGGTCTGTCATATTTTGTCACAAGTCTGTCAGACATTTGATTAGTTCCTTCACTAGTTTCAAGATGCAACAAAAATCTTATTCTAAAATTCTAAAAGCTTACTCAGAGTGCATTTGTATACCATGTTTCTTGATATTATATATTTTCTTAGAAATGAAATGGTGTCCAGAAGATTTTTGCCAGGAGAAAAGTATAAGGACCTGATACTGTACCTTTCAAGCTTATTGATGATTGCTTTTACTTTGCATTGACGACCTTTTAACAGAGTCATTACATTTTACACTAATGCCTTACACTGTACATAAACACCATGTACTGTGTAAAGTGATGTAAGCTTGTATTGTATATAGTTAGTATAGCTATAGCAGGTTAAGTATGTATATGTTCAGGTGGGTAGCTGCGTCAGCATGCGTAGGCTGCAAAGGAACAAGTAATAGGTTTATTCCATGCTGAAAAAAAGAAGAAAGAGAACACAACGTTTCGGCCGTGGAGCCTTCTTCAGGTATGAGCACCTGAAGAAGCACCTCACACCTGAAGAAGGCTCCACGGCCGAAACGTTGTGTTCTCTTTCTTCTTTTTTCAGCATGGAATAAACCTATTACTTGTTCCTAAGTATGTATATGTATATATTACTAAATCTTTATGCACTTGCTAGTGCCTTTTTTTTTGTTTTGTTTCAATTTTTTATAACTGTATGGCTCCAATTGTAACATCTGATTCTATATAATAAAATCTACCTGCTGTTTTGTACCTTAGCGCATTTTGTTGATCAGGAAACAGTACCAGTTGAAAATAAAAACAAACAAGTTCAGGTGTATCATGAGCTATTCTGCTTCCCACAACTGTCAGAGTCAATTTTGTTCCGATTTTGTTTGTGCTCAAACATAAAGAAACACGGCCTGCTCCTCTACGCTTCCAGGCCGCAGTATCGAGACGCCCTTACCTGTCACCAGCACACAAGACTCCGTCTCTCGGGCATTTGCAGCACAGATGATGACCACAAAGTTAGTCCGCGACAGTTTGCCCTCCGCCAGACAGCGGAAGGCCTCGGCCAGCCCCTCGGCCAGGGAGCCGGTGGCTTCGGCGACGCGCACGCTGTCGCTGCAGGAGCTGGTGGCCAGCCTGGCCAGCCAGGGCAGCTGCGCGGGGGTGACAGGCTGCTGCGCCTGACTGCAAGCCGGCGAGGGAAGCTGGGGGTGGGTCTGCTGGTACTGCCTGATCTCCATCAGGTGCGACTCCCGCCAGGAGTGCATAAGGATCTGCTCCAAATCCTCCATGAGAGGGACCTGGTCGGGGGCTGCGAAATTAAACGAAAGGGAACAAGGAGAACCGGGTGCTTTTCAAAAGCATTTTGACTCCAGAGGAAAATCTTGTGCCTTGCAGAAAGTCTGCCGTGGTAATGCTGGATTCTACTCTCCAAGGGGATGAAAAAATCAGTTCTCCCTAATGTTGTCATAATTCGCGATGAGCAAAATGTTTTCATTATTATTTCAGAAACAGAGAAACCAGGAAATGTTTTCAATGTGAGAAAAAAAAACAGAGGTTAATATTCCACTGTTTCTTCTTCTAATACTGAGTTTCAAGCTCAGTTTCCAGAAGATCACAGCAACCACAGGGTATCTTTCCATCTGAGCCTTCACTTACACAGCTGTTCTACAAGCTTAAGCAGCACAGCTAGAGCTTTAATTAAAGACTTAAGTTTGAAACTGTGATATACTGTACCTTGACCAAAGAGCATCTTTGAACAAACAAAAAGTGCTCGGGCAAGTAATTATATTACATAAAGTTTGAGAATTAAAGCTGCTCTTTTATATACTGAGACATAAAGAACACAAGAAATACTATTGATTCCAATACTTATCTATGGGTTTTAATTTCTCTCAATATATTTCATGTTATGATAATCCAGCTATTATATACTGATTTTAAGACATTTGCAAGAAGCCATTACTTCTTTCGAAAGTCATTATTTACTACTTCATTCCCACCCAATTTGAATAATGCATGACTGTTGCCTTTGTGTTTTGCCAGAGGGAAACAAAAGATGAGAGGCTTACCAAGCTGGACCAGGTAGTAGACTGTCAGCAAAATCTGCATCTCTACAGAAAGAGGTTGAATGGGGGAGGTGCCATATTGCTCATAGACTCTGGGCAGAGCCTGCGAATTCTTGTAACAGGACTGTAGAAGCGTGCTGACTATCACATCACTCACGTTTCCACAAAGGTAAGGCAAATTTCCATGTCCTTCATTTGAGGAAAAAGAAAGGATTGAGCTGTGTGAAAATGGTACAATTTTTCCACTAGAGGGCTCTATGCTCTTACTTCCCTGAAATTGCTTCCACACTGCTTGAAAGATACAGATGCAAAGTTAACATACTGTACCAAAACTCTTAAAAATGCCCTTAAGTAACATTTAATACATAACATCAGCTGCCCTGTTGATTGCATATGGGGTTCCTGTGTTACCCCGGTAACCCGTCTTTCCAATACAGAAAAATATACTCTGATACATGCTTTCTCTTCCAGTATAGAATTGGAGTGGAAATGTCCAGCTGAAGTGTACTTTGAAAATGGAAAAAAAACATATTGGAACAAGTAATAGGTTTATTCCATGCTGAAAAAAAGAAGAAAGAAAACACAGCGTTTCGGCCGTGGAGCCTTCTTCAGGTGTGAGCCTGAGGTGTGAGCTCACACCTGAAGAAGGCTCCACCGTGGAAAGCTGTGTTTTCTTTCTTCTTTTTTCAGCATGGAATAAACCTATTACTTGTTCCTTTGCAGCCTACGCATGCTGACGCAGCTACCCACCAAAAAAACATATTGACTAATAAAGTCCAATTTTAGAGACTTATCAAGTCAGAAAGTTTACTGGGGACAGAAAGGACAGCTGCATGTAAAAATGAATTAACAGCACTGCACATAAATAAATTATGCTTTTCCTGAAGAAGTCTGTCTCTTGAAAGGCTGTATGTACTCTCTGGCGAGTTACCTTTAAAAAGAACAGGCCGAGTCCTGCATATTTTCAGGAGGTTATCTGGCACCGTCACAGTTTCCCCAGAGGTCAGTAATGGAGAAGGGATTGCTGCTCCTGAGGCTGACTGAGACAAACACACCGGCGCTCCACTGTCTGCAGAACAAACAGCCAAGAAACACACTGTACTGAAAGTACTGAAACTACTGCTCCTGTCTGGCATCATAAACAATAGCCAAATACTGGTAAGTACACAGAGCAAACCATGTTTTGACTATTCAAGATCATTTTATGTTGAATAAAAGTTATTGGTTTATTATAAAGTTATTATTTTTTATATTAAAAGGGAGGTGAAGGATGTGGTAAAAACTGTCAAAATTAAAAATAACAGTGTACTATATTAAAATGAGGAATGGATATTGCAAAAAAAATAAAAGATAATCACATAATCACAAAAGATAATGTACAATAAATCAATCAAGCAACAGTTAAATCTACAGAAATCAGTTTTTTGTTTAAAAAAGCAATTTTTCCATGACAAAGAAGCCACTCTAAAGCATGAATGACGAGCTCTTCTGGGTGAGCAGCAGTATTTTGAATTTTATTCTGAAACCATAGGCTGTAACCATTTTCTATTTGCAGGAAACCTACAACAGCTGATACTGTATATGCACATGGCTTTTGATTTGGGTTAATTCCAAGTAGCTGAGTTCTGAACATGCTGCACTTCATCTAAGCAGTGTGACAATGCAGACAGTATTTGTTTAATGTAAAGGTTCTGTGAAAACATGGAAGTGAAAGGTGCTGCAATACCAATTAACATCTGACCCAAGGATAACATACTGTACAAACAGTAAAAAGAAAGGGACCAAAAACAAAGCTTTGCAGAACTCTAGATGTGATTACCTTTGTAGAGGAGAAACAACGGTTAATTTGAACACTCACTTTCTATCAGTTAGAAAACGTACCGTAAACCTTTGCTAAACTATTCAGAAAGAGGGTATGATCAATAGTGTTCAAATAGCACGACAAGAAGTACAACAAAAGATAAAAGTCTGCAGTTGAAACTTTAAGAATAATCGTAACAGGGAAGCTTGGTGGATTGAGATGTACAGGTATGGGTTAATTGGTTGATATAGTTACATATGTTTAACAATAGATTTCACATGAATCTCTTCCACTGATATTATTTGTTTCTCACCTGTTTTATAAAGAAAATCTTCTTATATTTAATACAACCACCCATCTTTTATCCAGCAAACCTCAGAAGAACAGCACAAACCTTTCTTTACCAGTCCTCAACTTATCAACTACTTCAGTCATCCATGGCCACTCAAGCAATAATCATTATTATAATTCATGTTTATTTTTTCAAAATTTAATTTTCAAAAGGCACCTTTTGGTACAGTGGAGCAAAGAAAATGACACGTCTACTCTAAAATGAGAGCTGTGGAGCTGAAAATCTACTAGAAAGGTTTTAAAAACAAATCATCACATTTAAAAATATTTTAATGGATTCAGAATTAGGGAGGCTAAATTAGGGATTTCACAATAATCTAAGATGGACGTACACTTTTTATTACAAAAGCATGTTTTTATTAGAACTTGAAAGTATTCAGCATACAAGCCTTCATCGGGACATGCTGTCCTGTTCATTTATTTGGCAAAGAGAGAGTTTGTGGATCCAGCTCATCTTGTTACTATTATTGTTTCTCATTGCACAGCACTCCAGCAAATTTTTTATCTCCTTTCGGGATATTTCAAGAAAATAAAGTTTGTAAATTTATAGTTAATAGAGTCAATATTTTTAGATTTATAGCTACTGCATCAACTGAAAAAAGGCCACAAACAGTTTAAGATTCTGGCACTAAGTACAGCAGCAGACAGGCAGTGTGTTCACGTTTTATTGACGTATTGTAGGTGATTTGTTAACTTTGTTCAACATGTTCTATTTTTATGAGTTTATTAAGTTAATAGTATTTGTTTGAACTGTAAGAAAAGCTAATGATATATATTTTATTTGTTTTTGTTCTATTTTGGCAACAAAACACCAATAATAGAATTGCTGAGAGGGGGCTAGTTGGCCCACCTAACTTGTTTAGTTTTTAGTACCTAATTGGTCCAAGGATCACACCCAGTTATTTCTTTCAAGAAAAACAATTCAATCAATTCAAAATGATATAAGACGAGAAGTCTTATTTTAATCTTTATTCTGTCTTAAAACTATTCCCGACATGTTGGTTTACATGACTTTTTCTGCACTTTCTGTACCTTTCTAGTACTACTCAAGTACATCTTGTTTTTCTGTGGAAGTCCCATATCTGTACACCCTAGTCCCCCACATATAAATAGGGTACTACTTGTTTTTTATGAAGATCAAATAATCTTTCTGCTATGCTCCAACAGAGTTATGGCAATAAAAAAAACACTTTCCCTACTTTCAATGTTATTTTCCCTCCTCTCTTTTTCTTTCAGGCAAAAAGGAATGACAGTGGATCAGGATCAAACTCACTAAGCAGGCACATACTGTACATTACACTGGTGCTCCATTAGTTTTTATTTTCATCCACAGTATACGCAAATGGATTATTGCATTGCTTCTAATTCTTTTATCAATTGTCAAAATATATTTAAATATAAAATCTCACTATTCCAGAAGGTCCCCACTTACCAGCTTTAATGTTATTGCCTGACGTGGAGTGGTTGTTCTTTGTAGATGGGTCAGTAGTGGATGGGGACTCCGGAGACCAGCCTTTGTGGCGTTTCTTCGGAGGCCCAGAATTAGTTATGGTGCCTGAGAAACCATAAAAAGAAACGTATTACATAGAACAGGAAAGTTACATCTGCAGAACATAGTGTGCCCTACCATCCTACCAACAGCACAACAATATGATGTGATTTGTCATGAGGTCCATGCTATGAAAGTGACTGAACTGTTCTAGAACATAACATACTGTAACTACGAGTTATTTTTGGTGCTTTTATTTAAGAATATATGGTATACATAACAAACATAACATAACATCACTTTATTAGCCCTATACAATTTCTTGCATTAGGAATTAGTCTTTTTGCATACCCTAGCTTGGTCTCCATGAGACACACAAACAGGGAGAGAAGCCTGGGTCAGAGCACAGGGTCAGCTATTGTACAGCACCCCTGGAGCAATTGGGGTTAAGGGCCTTGCTCAGGGGCCCAATGGAGTAGGATTCCTCTGATGGCTGCGGGATTTGAACCGGCAACCTTCCAGCCACAGGCGCAGATCCTTAGCCACAGAACCACCGCTACATGAACACAAACTGCTCTCATATTATAAATTATCTCATAAAATGAATAGCACATTAACACACTTTCATGTGAAAAGGAAAAACGTAGGTTGTCTATTTCACTGCATCTTGATGAAACTATGAATCAACACTGTCTTAGTATATATATTAAAATATTATCTTACGCATGTTTAAGTTAAGGTCTGCAACAGAATAGGCATTTTCCCACAGCCACTAAGCAAAAGCTACAGTGAATCTAGGTATTACACAAAACTCCTAAATATCTCAGTAAATACAAGAAATCCTTGATAAATATATTTGGTATGAAACCTGGATTAATTTTTCCATTGTAGCATATATAAAAAGCAAAGATTATACTGTACAGGGAAAAGGTCAGTCAGGGGTTTACAAGAAAGACAACCAATGATGCCAAGAATGTTTCAAAATTGCATTAAAACACAAATACACAGAAATCAAGAGTCAGGGTGTTCCTATGAATCCACAGATCTCTCACCTAGCAAACACTTGTGTGAGGAAAGTACTAGAAAAGTGAGTTATGATACAAAAGAAAGAAAGGTTGCTGTGGAAATACAGAGAACAACAATGCCCTGAAGTCTGTCTATTCAGAGCACCTTGGAAAAAATACTGCTAGAATGTCAAGTTTTGCATGGAAAGCAGTTGTGAAATTGTAAGATAGTCTTTGCAAGAAAGAAATACATACTGATAGTTTGGAAATACAGTCATATAAAGTACTTGTCATGCTTTTTTGACTGTTTAAACATTTTTTGAAACAGCGACTTACTGCAACGGTTCTTCAACCAAATCTGTTTACATTTATATGTGATAACAGATTGTAGCTTGTACCAAACCTAATTTTTTATGAAGCTCTGAACAAAAAAAAAGCCATATTATAAATTATATGCGAAAGCAACAAACATTAGGAAGGAAGCATTTAGCTCACACACATAAAGCTCACAGCTGTGTTTTATTGAAGCCGCAGTCCTTGGAGGCAAGGAAGACCAGGGAGACTTTTCATACCTCCACCCATCGTATAAAATACAATAAACTCTCACAATACAGCCTCTTCCTAAAGCTGTTAAGTCGTTAAGTAGGAACAAGTGGGCTTGTTCTCCTCACTGAGGCGTGAAGTCTAGGAGTCGGAGGAGAGGCAGACGCACCTATCACTGAAGGCCTGTTGACGCTATGGGCTGGCAGGCCGCAGGTTCTTGATGACTGCTGGCTGGCGAGACAATCTCTGCCATTGTAGTAAGCAGCGGGCGTCCCTGGCACCAAAGAGGGGACTGTCTGATCAGGGGGTATACCTGTAGAAAAGCAGACAATGGGCTGAAAAAAAAACACTTCTCTTCACAGATCCTCAAGCCCACAATATCATTTAAAGGGAAATATTCAAAGCTGTTGTCCAGTGCAACGTTTGTTCTATTGTTTTGATCTTTATGTAAGATAGAGAGGAAACATCAAAACTTTTACTTAAGGCAAAATAATTTCTTTTAAGTATTCACTGCTGAAATTCACTGAAGATTCATACTAGTTTTGAAATATTTTTAGAACACATGGAGAAATATGTGTTACAAAATAAAAAAAATAACTGTCAAAAATGAATGTAGCACACTGGCAGCGCACCTTCACCACTTATTTCATAGATTCCTGAATGCCTTGGCTCTTCTTCAAGTCTCCCAACTTAATTAAACACACAGTTCACAGCCCATTATCTCCTAGAGATCTTACCTGTATAAGGGCTTGCGACTGGGGCAGCCTGCCCTGAGGCTGTGAGTGATTCTGCAGGGATAGCAGGAGCCAGGTAATCCTGTTCTTCTGGTGAGGGATGGCTCATGGAGGTGTTACAAACTGCTTGTTTCACTTTGCTTTCTTTAAAGAAAAACCATGAAAGCATTTTTTTTGTATTCCTAATTAGATGGAACCAAAATGATTAATCTGCAATCATTAACATATACAACATATTTAGAAAAATGTATTCATTAATACCTGCCATATTTTTAAATGATATATATTTCTCTGACTGATGGATTCATCCAAAAGTTACCTAGGTTCAGGCCCATTTATACAGCAAGACATTTTACTGAAGCAATTGACCTGCTCACCAGAATGACAGAAGTGGCCCACCTGAGATTTGAACCCATAACCTTACAGTTGAAGGCTAAAAGCCCCAGATGTAGAAAAGCAGGATGAATAAAGAATAATAAAATGTTGTGCCTGCAAAGTTTTCTTCAGGTGTGATATATGTGCAATTCACCACAATATAATATAAACTTAGCATTTATTTTTAATAATCTTAGTATAAGACTTTCACGTTGCATGCCTCAGTAGGTTGTAACACATCTGCAGAGGTGCAGGTGAGTGCAGGTAGACTTATTCATGCACTTGAGGACATAAAGCTTACCAAAGAAAAAAAGCAGGTGACATTTTTGTTTTAATGATTTGGAAGACCATCCAGATATGCCAAGGCTGACATCAGAGGAACTCAAAAAGGGCAAAGTACACCCTGCACAGAACTGCTAGTACTGTATGTGCAAGAGCACAGACATCATAACCTCAAGGGGCTCAAACAGTAAAGGTAGTTACTCACAAGGTTGTGGCCTTTGACCCAGACCCTGCAAGTATGAGCCTGGGTGATGTCACTATGACCACACCAGCGGTGGGCAAAAGGCTAAATGTCAGGTGGGAAATCAGGAATTAAGCTCCCAGGGCGCTCTCAACTCTCAACCCAATGGCTTGCTAGGTACCTGCAGGCTTGGAGTGACATCAGTAAGAGACATGCTGCTCTTCCATGTCCATGTAGCTTCCAAGTTCCCTGGCCAGCATGGATTACATTGGTATACTGACAGCAATGGCATGTACCATGTAACTTATAGCGGAACTACAGTCCCAATTTCTCAGACCAGTTGGTAACAAAGTACATTCATTGATGTAATTGGAAAAAAATGACAAATTTCAAATCAAACACAAAATCATGAAAATCATGTTGTCGCAAACTCTCATTCGACTTTTCACGAACTGCGACAGGATTCGGCCCTTCCTCCTCACTAGTCTCTGTAATGACTAATGTAATGTGATGTACGAGCGAACAAAAACAGGTTGTGCAGCAGACATTTCACCGCAGAAATGTTCCAATGTTATCTACTGTACATACAGAGTTAACAAGTAGTATTGGCAAAACAGTCTCGAAATGAAAAGCAATATTTCTATTGGATTAAAAGAGATGTATCCACAAGCCTACTTGTTAACAAAGTCACAGAGCTGCACACGCCACTTCATTCTTAATTGCAGAACATGGCAATGTGCATTCCTGTAAATGTTGTCTATTTTGTGGTGTTAATTAGTTTTACAGGTTTCTGTGTACATTTGACTTTTATTGTGGTTTGAAATGGACTCATCAATGTGGATTCTTTCTAATCCTGAAATATGAAAATGGTGTTGCCGTCCCCCTTTAGGCAAGAGTTACTGTCCAAGATGGATCTCTAAGAGCCCACAAGCATTTCCTCAGACTTTGTACAATCAGACAGTGATGTAAAGCCTGTCCTTGCTTTTAATTGGAGTCACGAAGAGCACCAATTCCTGAAAACGTCTCTCAATGAGGTGACATAATCTGCAGAAAAGACAAGCAACTGTTGGTCAACATTTCTTGCTTAATTTGTTCTGTTAACAAGAACAAGTTAATTATTCACAGTGGCTTCTCCTCATTTGTAATTGGTATATGGCTCCATACCTGCCCCTTTCCAGCAAATAAGAGGTCCTTTGACCAGATACCCCTGGGCATTCCTGAAAAGGTAATACTTTAAGTGCTTCTGCTTCTTTGGCTGGGTTGTCAGCTTGAGGTTGATGTGATTGGAGAACTCAGTGAAGTAACGAAAGCCTTTCTCCCCACAGCCCACACAGTTACCTGAGAAACCTGTAAAGTATGAAAAGAATGGTACAGTTCAATGTTAACACTGCGGACAGATTAATAAGACTAATGCTCGATTTACAGGGGTGGTCAGGCCTGGTCTTGGAGAGTCACGGTCTGGAAGATCTAATGGGGTCACCCTTAAATCATCAATTTGTACTGACTCTGAACACATGAAGTTTGATCAATGTAGAATGTTAATTGTTCCAGTTAATTGCCAGGAATGGACAGCAGTGGTCCTTGAGAGCTACATAATGTTAGGGTTTCATTTGGAAACACTACTTAACTGAACACATTACCTGCTTTAGTGCTCCAAATGAAATAGTTTCAAGTGAAACTGATGATTTGAGAATGACCCTTAAAACTTTCTGGACTGTGGCTATCCCAGAACAGGGTTTATCAGCACTTGCACTGTTTGATAATGTTGACTTGTAAAGCAAAGTTGTGACTAGGCACAATAAAGTAAAATATTTAACTGTTGAGAACAAAAATGTTTCTATTCTGTCTTTTTCCGTGCTGCCGTGCTGTGTTGTAATTGTTTTATGCTGTTTTCTGGGCTAAATGATTTAGAAAAAGACATATGCATCTTGTCTAGAGAGCTACAATCAAGAAGTCAGTAAAATGTCTCAACTCTACTTTCTGGCTTTTCGCCAGGTTGGCACTAGTGCAGAAATCTGAATGGTTCAAGCAGGGAGCTGTATTAGCGTGTGTTGGCTGCAAAGGAACAGGTAAAGGTTAATTCCAGCGTGAAAAACAGCAAAAAACAAGACTGAGACTTCTTCAGATGTGAGGCACATCTGTATGGTGCTCACTGAAACATAGTGCCATAGAGACTCATACTGCAAACCTTAGTGGCTGCTGATCGCACCCAGCACACAACCAATATTGCAACTCACTGAATACAGGCTGGACATTAATTGAAAGAAGAGTAACATCCTTTTATTAAGACTTCTGTAACAGAACTACAGTTAACACTATGCATTACCAAATATGTAAAGAACGGCATTAGGTAAATACTTTAAACCCTGTCCTTCTGGGATCCCAGGAATGACACATGGAATTACGCTAGAAGCATGCTTTTGGAATGGGCCTGAATGCAAGATGCTACGTAGACTCTGTATTATCTGTTCAAAGGCAAAACTTAAACTCGGAATGGTCAAAATTGCACACCAGGCCTTCTTAAAAACTCTCTGTGAGAATCTGGTTTCCATAGATACCACCAGACACTAGAGATGAGGGCTCTGTTAGATAAATAGGCCACAGAAACAAAATTGCATTAAAAAAACTCTGCAACTCCATACTGGTCATGCTGAGTGAGGTCAGGTCACCCTGACACAGCACTCAGCCTTCAGAAGAGTGAGGTCTGTGTTATTCTAGCGCCTAACTGGCATGTTCTAATGAAATATTTCTGCTCGGATTAGCTTCCTGCAAAATAATCTACATTTCCATGCTGCATTAAACAACACCTACTTCAGTGTCATAAATCCAATGTCACCTTGAATATCTTCCCGTATGGCATACCACACTTCTGACATCCTGATCTTTTTGTTTAATTATTTTAACTTTTTTGTTTTTTTTTCTGTTGAATCAGGCTGCCTACCTTAAGATGCAAACCAAGGGCTATAGATGAAATAAACAGCAGGAATTTATTAATGGGAGAAGTACATCTACAGAAGTAAAATACATTTGTAAGTTGTTCTTTCATTTTGCATTGTAATGACACAGCCACTAGTTATGTTGAAACAGGACAGGTAACTGCCTTCTAAATAAATGTATTTATACATACAGTATTAACACAGCCAAATGTGAATGAAATTAAAAAATTATTTTAGTATTTATTAGGTATGTTTTCTTTAATGTAGCTTTATCATAATAACCCATACGTATCAAAAGATGCCTTAACATATTTCAAAGGTTTCAGATGTCCTCTGATCCATTGTAAATGAATGCCAAAAAATAAAATAAACTTTAATATAAAAATTTAATATAAAATTATAATATATTTCATTATAATAAATATAATATAAAATAAACAAAATATTTTGGAAAAATGATTATTATGAAAAAACATATTTTGGAAAAAATAAACTTTTACTAAACTTAAAATGTTTGTCATGGTATATTTTTCATTCATTTAAATTTCTTCATTCACATAACAAATGATGTTGAGAAAAATGGACTAAGTCAAATTATAAGAGTCAAAAGAAAATCTCAAACAGATCTTTCAAGTTGAAGATGGGAAGCAAGTATTTTAGCAGCAACCATATTCCAGTGTGGACATTCCATAATATGTAATCCAATGTGTTTGTATGCTCCATTTTCATACTCATTAACATTGTAATGAACAAAATAACTTTGCACAGATGCTGGTTTGTCTGGTGCATTTCTTAAAATTAAAAATAATTTTCCAGAGAAATTGAAAAATAACTTATTCAGACTTTTAGGAATATGTTATCCTGAGAAGATAACTAGTCTTTTCTTTGTTTTTATTAAGGATGGTGAGCAGTTAAGAGCTCCAAATGTTCAGATGGCTACGATCCTTAGTCATGCAATCAACAGTCAAATTCCAAAATTTTCAAAACAACAAAATATTGTTTTTAATTTTAATTACATTTTAACTTTCATTTCAAAAGGTAAAAATGAAATGTTTTTTCATTCCTTTTACATCAACAATTAAACATTACCAGTCTTCAAAAATAATGCAAAATAATATCTTCCAAAATTATAATTAAAGAGCTGAAAAAAGAAAGGCGCAGAGACCTTTCAAAACTGGTGCGATGTGATGATGTGACAGAATAATTTAGTGTAAAGGAAAAGAGCAAGCTCTGTACGTTCTTAAACAAATTCAAAATTGGAAAGCTCAAGGTGGACACTAAGTCCTGTCCTCACCTAAAAGTGCATTTCGTCCACTCTCATCTGGAAGAAACCTGTGGTCAACAGCACAAACCAGGAGGTGGTCTGGTAAATTTGAAGACTTCACTCCAACTAGTAGAAAACCTGAGGGAACTTCTATTTGCTCATTAGAAATGGAGGCCAGACGCAGGTCTTTTCCAGACTGACAGAATCCTTTAGGAAAAAGAAACACAAGTATTTTGAGAAAAAAACAACCCAAAACTTTAGAGTGAAATGCCACATAAACATACCAGTCAGCCATGTTTAAAGTCACTAAATTTTAACCTGCAGGATAGGTCTAAAACAAGTCAATGCTAATACAATTTAAGCAATGCTTACATACAGTATATACAGTAAATGCAATAATGTCTTGATTTTTTCAATAAGTCAGAGGCAACAGAAAAGTAAGTCATTTCTTAGAAAGAAGTCCTGAGAAGACTGTTCCTTAAATCATTCACCAGAACTTAATATTTGCTATGCTGAGGCAGTGCCCTGTTGTTTTGTTCCTGAACTGTAAGTAATAATATCCTGAGATTTTAAATGGTATTTCAACACCCGTAGCACTGAAAACCGGGACTCCTCACCATCTGTGGAGCAGCAGCCTTCAGGAGGAGTGTTCATCTGGTATGGAATCAGAGAGCTGTTTGAGTCTGAGCCATCGTCTTCATCTTCCTCCTCGTTTACTGACCTGCCAGCTACGAAGCATCAGACGGCACTTAACACTCACTGCCTTTACAATACCAACAAACTACACCCTGGAAGGCCTGGGGTTTTTCATGCTTCTTAACACTCTTCTCTTTATTTCCCCATGACACAGATTCGTATTCAGCACTGATGCACAGCAGCTTTCTTTCTTCAAAAATAATAATAAATAATAGCAAGGAATATCTTAAATTTAGAACTGCATACATGTTAAGAGCTTTTGTGTGCTTTTTATAGTTGGTTAAATTTAGAATTGCATACATGTGCTTTTTATAGTTTTGCCATCTCTAAAAACATATGCATTGCAGCAGCAGATCTTTGCGTTACCAGTGTTCCAATTGAAAGAGAAGCAATTACAAAGTAAAAGTATTTCAGAATATGAGTTATACATTCACATTTGTATTACTCATTACTTATTTGTATTTGTATTACTGTATTACTGAAATACTCAAGAAACGTTAAAAGACCTAGTAGTTAATTGCATGCATGCTGAAACAGATAATTTGTGTGCTATTTTAATGCTACATGGATGCCAGGTATATGTCTAGAATTCCATGTTGAACTGGCATGAATATTTTCAGAATGAAACCTCTCATTTAAAAAAAACACCTTTGGTCAGATCCAGAAGAGATGAAAGGACTCTACAGCACTTTCCCATCACCTGCCTTCAGATCACAAATGACAGAATTGACTGCTGTTAAACAAATGGGCACAGTTATTCCACCCATGTTACTATAATGCACACTGGAAATAAGTACACTGTTTTTTGTATCATCAATTTAAGCTTATTCGTTATGGAAACCAAATCTGAAAATATTTTCGAAGCAAGCAAGCAGTGTACAGACATAGTTCTGATGGAACCTGACACTTACCGTTAAGTGATGTGACCTGTTGTTCAGTTTCTAGATACAGCTGTGAGAAGACAGGTCGAGGCACTACGTTATTGGAGCGAAGAGACGCCTCTATGGAGTTGTGCAAGACTTCCTCAAAACGAGTCGTTTTCAGCTGCCCAGCATATGAGTTTCCCATCTTTTGAAAAACAAAAAGAAGCACACTCAGACTTGCTGCTACAAATCCCTAGAGGCACTGCCCCAGATAAATTTAAAACACAATTAAGCAAACAATTAAAAACTGCAGCCATTGTAAGAGATCTCTACGTCTTCATGTCAAGCCTTTCCAGGACACAGAGGGAGAAAGAGAGGGACATTAGTGAGAAGAGCACCCTGCTGTGTAATGATAGGAAGTCCCTTGTAAGCAACTGCACTTAACAGAGGGGTACAAGGGACAGACTCCATTTTATAACCTGACTCTCACAGCACAGGGGATAAATTAACCAGACAACAGCCCAGAACATGCATTTCAAACTATAATAAAGTTTGACTGCAGCCCAGCCTTCTCATACTAACTCCTAGACCAGGTACAGCCCCTGTTCAACAGTCCGTAAGACCCAACATGGGGAGAATTTACTGCTCTGAGGAGAACTGCCTCACAGAAGAGACAAGGAAGGGATTTATTTGCTCGCTTCTCATGTGAAAGCTAGTGCTTTTAGAAATACTATCTCGACTCTTTCCTCAGACAGCCTTCACAAGCAATTTCCAACGAGTATTACAATACTATTAACACCACAAGGTTCTGGAAGGTATCTTGGGGAATCTCACTTTGCCTATATTTCAGGCAGACTGTAGGCCGGGGAAACAATATTTGTTTCTCTTGAGGGGTTTGGTTCTGAAGTAGGGCAAGTTAAGTCTAATGTTCTACAAGGCTTGGTACTGGGCCCCCTGCAATTCATTATTTACATGTTCCCACTTGGTTAGCTATTAAAATTATTTCTTATTATAATTTCTATGCTGACGATACTCAAATCTAAGTTCATATTAAACTTACACTGAAGTAGCAGTTTGTACATTGTCTAATTGCATCTCCGATATAAAAACCTGTATGAGTTTTGAAGTTCATGCTACTCAGCATCTCCCACCGCCTACGTAAAGCCAATGCACTAACCCCATCTTTGGATAACACTGCTTGTATTTTATAAAAATTGAGGAATTGATGGTTATTTGATCCTGGCTTGACTGTTGACAGTCATGTACAGTCATGTTTAATTTGTTATCCTTATAACTGTTCTCACACCTATCCAATTGTAAAGAGCTTTGGGATTATTATAACAGATACAAGAGGAACCAAAAGGGTCTAGATTGCACCTGTGAGCTGTGCGTGAAGTAAGTCTCCTCTTACTTAACGGCCAAAATGTAATTGTGTTCTTTTCCCAGTGGCAAAGGGAACACAGAGGTTCTGGGTTCAATTCTTGGGCTGCTACTGTTTCTCCATGGAGTTTGCATGTTGCCCCTGTGTTCATATTCAGTCCAAATGCAATATGCACTGGTAATTAATTGGCTTCTGGGACAATGTGTCTGTGTATGCCTTGCGATGGACTGGCATCCCATCCAGGGGATGTATCCCACCTTGCGCCCGTTTCTTGCCAGGATAGGTTCCAACCCCCTGCAATCGTTTACTGGACAAGGTGGTTAGAAAATGTAACATAAATTTATGGATATTCTATTCTACAAGAATTCCACACATTCTAGTGTACAGGAAATGTACCTTTACTTTAATTCCCCTATGTTTGACAGAAATAGATTTCTCTCCCTTATCTTGACATTTAAATATGAATAAATGTCATTCCCATACCCCAGGCATATCTAAATAACGCATCCCAGTAAAAAAAAAGCAAAGTTTATAAAAAACAAGAGTACATCTGATATGAGGAGTGTGCCTGCCTCTGCTGAAGTACTAATTAAAATCTCCATCAATGATGCAGATGATTATCTGACATGTCTCACAATTTAATTTACTTTCTCGAGAGAATTGGGAAAGATCACAAACACCTCTGTACTAAACCATGCCTGTTAAACCAGCCGAGCATGATTAATGAAATCACCTTGAAAGTCAACTCTCTACTTTTATTACATAGCAAAGTTTACTTTAACGGAAATCTAAAATAAGTATAGGCCATAATAATGTCTTTGGATTAAAGAGGAAATAAACATGTTGTCATTTAAAATAAGTTTTTCTAAATGTTATAATTATATAAATAGTTAATTAAACTTATTATGTTAACATTGTTTCTGTTTTTCAATTATGATAATTTTGTGATTATACTAATTCATAGCTAAATAAAAATACAGAGAAGATCAATTCAATGGATTCAAATCCTACATGGGGCCCTGCTGCTGTCCCTAAAGTACTTGAGATACTGTAGCTGCAATCAAAGGCTCAGCTCTAAATATATAGTACAGTACAGTATGTCACTCTGTACAAAAGAGAGAAAGAAGAAGGATAACAGAACACAGAAAATGAAATACAAACTACTCACAGTTTTTGCAATAAATGTTTTGGCTCCCTTCTTGTAGATATTCAGTAGATATTTAAAACAAATGTTGCCTGCAAACAGCATTCATTTTACACTAAGATAACTTGTTTGCCTGGTCTTTAGAATATTGTGCTATTACAGACGTTTGAGAAAAATGATCATCTCGCCCTTTATTTCCTTCAGTATATATAATGTACCACTGGCACCTAACAAACCAATCCATGAACGCGTTTTGTTGAGGGAACACAGTATGCAGCCATTAAATCAGTTCATGAAAAAAAACAGAAAGTGCCTGTTACGGTCTACTACAGCATATGATGCTTTCATAGGTCAGACTGTTCTCTCCAAAGTACTTAGTAAAACTGGCAGAAAACAGCAGCATGATCTAACGTCAGCTCGGCTGTCCTAATCACCCAAAGGTCTCTGTCATTCAAAGACAATTTGTGTCTCAAATGTTCTTTTAAACTTTCCTGGAGTCAATTTCTGTGTTTCTTCTCATCCACATCAATACTACTAAAAAAACATTATTACTGTGAGAGAAGTTCTAGTTGAAAAAATACCTCAATATAGACGCTGCATCAAAATTGTTTTAACAAGTTTATGTGGAAGAACAGGCAATCTGCAGTAAAGGCAATCTGCCTCACTTTGTACTGTCCTTGTAAAAATCCAGAATGTTTTAATGGGTATGAGTATGTGCCAAAGGTGCCTTAACTGAAAAAGGTCAAAAGTAGTGCTGATTTAAATTTTTCCACAATTGCAGAATCATAAATCATCTGCTCCAAAATGCCTTTTTATTCATAACATGATATGAAGCACGTCTTCCTCCTGTCTAATTTTAAGCCACACACAACCACTTCTGAAACATACTGTAATACTGTATCTACAAATTGTATTCTCATATACTAATTATTTACACATACTGTGATAGTATACATATTGATGTATTGAAGCAGAAAGACTTTACTATGAAACAACTGAACAGCAGCACCATACAAAATACAGCTTTTTCAATATATTGAATATTGAAATAGAACAAGGACACACAAACACCTCAGAGGACTCTTCTCAGGGACAAACATTCTCTTTGTCAATTAGTAAACTTTACCATAACAGGTAGGCAATTGTTATGAGCTGGTATGAAAAATATTAGTTTGCTTTATATATTATGTTTTAAAATACAAATGGCCTGAATTGTAACCAAGGGAAACATATTGAGAGCAACTAAAATATACTTTGTCTTAAAAACACTCTGACAGAATGACCGCCGCATAAAGCTCTGTCCTCCATTTCATCAGTAAAAATCCATCTGATTATAATTGCCTTTCATGTCTAAATAAGACATGTTTTAAATCAACTCTATTTTATTTGTGGAAAACAAATCACGTCAGCTAAACCTTATTTAGATGTGGATCATGAAAAAAGGTTCCACATCTGTACAGATTGGGTAAGTAGTAAATGAACGAGTTGGGAGGCAAAAAAGAGATTTAGCTTATGTAAATGAGATGAGAAGACATCAATGATGTCAGGCTATGTAATTCGATGTCTGCAAAGGAAATGATACAGCTTATACTGATAAAAAATAATATACAGATAATATCTGTTCCTTGAAATAAAAGTCAGAATCACAAACAATAATTCTCCATGGATATACTGTACTTCTTTTAAAATGTCACTGCATTTACACTGTGCAGAAATACCAACAAGTCTTGGCAGAAAATGTTAAACTTACAGAGTACTGCAATTCTACAGAAGCACATTGCTGCCACCAAGGGAAAAAAATCTCCTGAGTTATCTCGTAATTATGAGATAGCAATGATCATTTCAGCGCATGAACAACCTCTTACTTTGTGCAATGGCAATACCTACAAGCTACTGATAGCTTTGCTGGAACTGTGAGTTTACTATTCTTGACATGTGCAATGCTACATGGAGTGCAAAACGCAGGAGGTTTTTTTTTCTTGGTTGCAGCAATGCGCTTCAGTACAATTCAATTATGAACCAGTTTTTATTCATTTAAAATTTTCCATGAAAGACATAACAAAATGAAAACAGAAATGCATCCCCAGTAAGGATTTAACAACATCAGCCACAGCACTCCAAGTGTCCACTGTACCCCATATTCCTAGTACTAAATATCCCACTTCCATATAAACTATGTCAGGACAGGATCCAGTGATGCCACAGAGGGAATATGGCTCCCAATGCATCTTTATAGCTGTGGTCTGGTCATCCAATTAGATCAATTTTTTTCTGCCTTGAGAGCCCAATGATGTAGTAATCATTCAAAAGAAGTTTTAGAACTGTTCTGAACAAGAACAATTTTGTTTAGAATAGTTGATAAAAAAGAACAACATCTAGATATTTTCACAATATGTAAAATGGTGTCTACAATACCCTGGACACAGTTTACACAAGGTACTAGAATCATGTGCACTCGAATACTTCAGTAGTTGGGATTTTTGGAAGCCAAATGTGCCTCTTCACAAATGTTGCATAACATTTCCTCATCTGTGACATTTAAGATCATTTGCATTTTCCACCACACTGAGAAGGATGAGATGTCAGACAAAGGGAGCAAAGGAGTGGAGCAAGAAGCGAACGTGGAAACGACCATCACATGTGGAACAGAAATACAGAGAACATAAGGAACCTGAGAAGG